CAGTTTGACCCACCCATTAAACCCCATTTAAGCTCATTTAATTTAAATTTAATATTAAAATATTAAAAATATTTTATATATATATTAAATTAAAATTAAATAAAAATTAATTTTTTCCAATAAAATATGTTCACTTGACCAGATTCAAGTTTGAAAATTCTTGTTTAGAACTCGATTTGAATCAAACTTGACGAAAAGTTCGGTTCGTGAACAAATCCAATAATGAATGGTGTTTTTTACATATTTTTTTCTTTTATATAATGCGCTAGTTAACAATGAATATAACATTTCCAAAATGTTGGACAAAATTAGTTTTAGTACTTAAAAAATAATTTTTATAAATTTAAAATCATATATACTCTGTTGACACTTCTTAACAAGATTCCACAAACAATGTGTAAAAAAAAAAATTCTTGGAACAATGGAGAATCAATCATGAAACTAGAATCTGGCTGTATATAATTATTTTAAGTCAAATCACAGGAAAAACAAAATGGAACTTAATGCATATGGAAAGTGGGCTAATTGGCTGCCTGAAATAGTTTACCATGAAATTGTTTTTCAACCAAATTAGTGAAAGAAAATGCAAATTTGCCCAAAAATGTTCATTTTCTCTTTTTTTTTTGGATAATTGATTGTTATTTTATTCATGCAAAATAGTACAAAGAATTGATGTTTAGAGGTTTATCTAGCTTCTAAAGCGGGAATTGATGTTCTAGCGTCTTCAAGTCTTATCAAAAGCCCAAATTAATTAAATAATAATCAAATTTTTTATAAAAAAATCATAAAAATATTAAATTAATTTAATTAATTCATATAATTATATTTAAAAAATAATATTAAATAATTTTATGATTCAAATCTCATCATATACAATCATTTTTTCTATTCCCAAACTATGAATTTTTTTATAAAAAAAATGAAGAACTCAATTGGTCAAAATACATATTTAATTATTAGTATCAATAATTGGGTTTAATTTGCAAAACCTAATTAAAATATGCATCGATCCATGTAATTGACCTTCATTAATGGGCGCATGAGTGGCCACTCTCCAAAATTATTTTAATCCCACCTTTAATGCAATTAAGATAATTCTTAATTTTCCATTATAATTTTTTTAAAATAAATGATAATTATCTTGACCCTTCGCTTTTCTTTTTATAATATGTTTTTTTTTTAATATATTGCTAGCTTTTCTTTTATTGGTCGATTATTTCTGAATTAATATTGTCAATTCTCTCCATGCATCCAACATGCATGATCAAGTCACTTTGTCTTTACTATTTTAACAAAATAAACTAAGAATAGAAATAGTAGAGGTCAATGGCATTGATATAGTACCAATAACAGAAACAATGGATAAATAAATTAATAAGGTTAGAAAACTTGTATTTTTATTGTGTATGTCACTTCTTTAATTTTTATCAAATTAAATTCTTCAACGGTACATTTTACGGTTTTCTTTTGTTCTAGTACATTTACGCTACCCACATTTGTATATTTTTTTTTAGTTAGTTCCCATTTCTACTTTGATTAATTTAACAAAAATAAATTTTTTTATTATTGCGTATGTCACTTCTTTATTAACAAAAATAAATTCATAATTCTCCCACATCAATTAATTTTATACTAATTGAGTTTAATTAAAGTATATTTTCTTTTGTTAAATATAATTTGTAAATTACAATTAGTTTGCTCAAAGGGTTAGGTTTGAGATGGAAGCTTCACTCGTAATTGATGAGTTTTAATTTGTTCTGATTTTTAAAATTTAATTTTTTTTAAAATCAAATTTTAAGTTGGATAATAATAAAAAAAATTTAGAATCGAGTTGAGATCAGATTTTAGATAAATCCATCCTACCTCAATTTGATATATATAATTATTTTTAATTAATTAATTAATTATTTATTATATTTATTTAGTTTTATATTTATATTAAAAATAATATTTTATTAAATTTAAATTAAATCAGATATAATTTTATATAATATTAAATCAAATCAAATTAAAATATAAAAAAATTAAATTAAATTCAAATATTATAAATATAAAATTAAATCAAATTCTAAACCAGCAAATATCCGTCCTGACCGTTGCCATCCTTTAGTTGGGCCATTTTGAGGTTTGACGCACAGAGCAAGATTGATGTCATCATCGTCTACCCAAAGGAAATGTCACTTTCACACATCACTTATCCATCCCTCAATGTCTCCCAAAAGTTACCCAAATTTCAGAGCTATTGGCTATCATAGCTCTGAAACAATAAAATGGCATAATCTAGCTACCAATTTTTACCGGTTATTTTCCACCAAAAAACAAAACAATAAAAAAAAAACTTTGCCTTATTTTTTGGTATTTAAAAATTTTTTAAATCATGTACTAATTATCTCATTATTATTTGTTGGAAGAAAAAAAAAACTCTTCTATTCTCAAGATTGTGCTATATATATAAAGGGGATCTTCATTAATTAAAAAAATTATGTCATAATTATATTAATATGATATTGTAAATTTAGATATTATTTTAATTATTATATTATAATATCTAATATTACCTTAATATTAATGGTTAAAATTAAGTTTGAGATTTTCATTTTCTTTTATTTTTCTAGCACTATTTAATTTGTTAGCGTACAATCTTCTCGCAAAATTAAATTTCACTTGGCGGTCAATTAACCAATATGTGTTAGAAATTAATACTTTATTTATTATTGTTTTAAATGTCAAACTATAAGTTAAACTGTACACATCCATCGTTGATTCCTAAGCTCATTAGTCATGGTCACTTGTTAAGAAAAATATTAACCTCAAAGCTTATTTCAACCTCGTGATACATCAAGGCTTTGATTCATTCAAAAAAAATTTTCTCCTTTGTATAATTTTACAAGTAATTTATTTCCAAGATGTTAAAGCTAACTAACCCTTGAGAAGATCAATCTCTATTTAATAATATTCATGACTGAGTTTTTTTTTTTTTTCTTTCTAGAACAAGCAAAACTGTAATATTAATAATAAAACCAACTTTAAACAAATTGGTTTAATTTTTAGCTAAGCTGGTATGCTATTTTATCCAACAGTCAAATAGTCTTACTGCTCATAAAAATACTAATAAAATTATAAACATTTATTTTTTTATAGGTATTTGAAAAATCAAATTGTTGAATTTTTTTTTTTTTTATAAAAAAACCATAATCTAATAATATGAAAAAAAATTATAAATATTAAAATTTAAATTTCAAATCTATTAAAAAATATCATATAAAAATGATTATACTTTAAATTAATAGAGTTACATCTCGAATTAATATTTTAAAATTTTATTATAAGTATTTAGATGATATGAATTATTGAAAGAGTACCGTTAAAAGGCTTAAGGAAGTGACAGAACGACCGTGACACTGCCCCATCTTTGTGTACATAAACATTAATTAGACAGCTAAAATTACAGGTTGTTGCATTCTTTGTTCTTGTTTTAGGGGCCGCCGCTATCTCTCTAATTTCCCTTTCCCTGCTTTATATTCTCATGAATAGAACCATTACCCTTAACGTGGCTATTTGGGTAGCATTTTATTTTTATCATGTTTTAATTTTTTTTATTTTACTTAACATTATTAATGATTAACATTTTAAGGAAAAAATTTGTTGCCTATTCCAATTGCCTCGACTAGCAATTGGACATGTTTACCGTTATGAGAAAGATTATGACATGAATTTTGTCTTTTTATTTACTTCTTCTTTCAATTAATTTCACTGAAATCCAAAAATCAATCCAAATTAACCATTTATTTTTTAGAAAGTGATTGCTTTTTGGACAATGGAAATCCTACTCACCCATAAATTCTCCACATTTCAGCATCGAAGTAAAAAACATTCCATCTCATTTGTTTGACTTGGTGTCTATACTTATCACCAAAGTCAGTGTTTTTTTTTTTTTTTTTTTCAAAAAGCCCCCTCTCTCAACGGTACATTTTATTGCGTATGTCACTTCTTTAATTTTTATCAAATTTCAAAATTCTTCAACGGTACATTTTACGGTTTTCTTTTGTTCTAGTACATTTTACGCTACCCACATTTGTATTTTTTTTTTTTTGTTAGTTCCCATTTCTACTTTGATTAGGTTCACAAATAAAAAAGTCAAAGTGAATGAGACATGAAAATGACCATGAATCGAAACTGGGGCATATCTTATATATGTCACCCATCTTGTAAAACTAAAATTCGACCCTCGAGTCTTGTAATTTTTTTTTTATCTCCTAAGTTTCGAATTTTTTAGTATAAAAAATTTATCATGGGTCACAACGCAAACCAAAGGGTATAATCAAAAATTTAAAATAGCTAAAAATGGTGGGATCTCATTAAATTTTATTATAATTAAAATCTTAGTAACATTGAGTAAATGATAAGGTTTAGTTTTTTTTTTTTTTAAAACAAGATCAACATTCACCTATCTTGTTGAGGGTAATCTTTATTAATTGCAAAGTCTTTATAAAGTATATATGACAATTTTTGTCTCCATATATAAGAGGGATTGATTAACTTATTTATTTTAAATTTTAATGTAAATAAAAGGAAAACTTGTGTTCTAGTAAACTTAAATTTATGTAGTACTTAGAAAAAATGTAAAATTTAATAACATACAAATGCCAATTTTTGTAATAATTCGCAAGCTTGACTATTTTTTTTCAAACTTCAATTTACATATTTAAATTTATATATTAATATTAAAAGTGTATCAAATATAAATTTTTATTTAAAAATAAAATAAATTAGCTAGCAAAAATTACAAACTAGGAAATAATAATTTGAAAAAGATTGTTAGAGTAAAGAAGATAGACAATTTTATTCAAGTTGCTCATAGATTTAATGAAAGCTAATAAACAACCATAAATTGCTATTAATAAAATTTCAAATTAAAAAAAAAAAAACTCATTGAGGTTCTTCAAGTTGTATACATATTTATATATTTTTCGTAAAAATAGAGAAAACCTAAACTCTGACTTGTATGAATTTATATTACAAAAATATGAAAAAGTGACAAGTGACCTGTTAGCAAAAATATGCAAACATTTTGAAAAATTCCCTAAGAAATCCTCCTAAGGAAGAAAAGTGGTGAAGATGTAGCAAATTATTCCCACATGGAAGTTTCAAAGCTGCCAGGGATTAAATTCTCTGTAGCCCATATCTGATCAGAAAATCCTCCATAGAAATCTTGTGGTGGATACACCCACCCATCAACCGAGTCAAGAAGTATAAACTCCTGTGAATCAAATAACGAGTCGAAATTCCCTTCTATATTGGGTAACTGAACAATTTCACTCAGTTCCTCAGGTTCTTCGGAGGCATTGGACTCTGAGAGAGATGAAGATTCGGAAACTAAAGATGATGATGATGATCGAGTATTGAAATGAACCATTGAAGCAGCTTTAGCTGCTGCAGCTTGGATGTCACGCGGCATTACTGAAACTGGTCGAGGAAGCAACTGTGCAAGCTCAGGGAAGTTGAGAATAGCCGAGTCACCTTTGATGCTTAAAGCAGCTACATCATGAGCACGAGCTGCCATTTCTGGAGTAGAGAAAGTACCAAGCCAAATACGAGATTTCTTGCGGGGTTCACGGATTTCGGACACCCATTTGCCCCAACTCCTCATTCTGACTCCCCTGTAAGCTAGGTGTTTGCTGCTTGAGCCTCTTGGTCTTTTAGCTTTGGTGTCTTCTGGGGCATCACCATGATTGGATCTCCTGGACAAGTTCTGGCAAGTCTGTGAAGAAGAAGATGTGGAGGAGGAGGAGTTGGAATTATTATTGCTGCTGCAACTCTCAGCTTCTGATGATGAAGAATGGTTTGGTTCTGTCATTTTCTTAAAAGAGGGTGACCCAAATTTTTGATAATTCTAATGCACACAACAAGGCTCAAGAAAAGTGAGAGAGTTATATATATAGAGAAAATGGGGACGCTCCCTTCAGAGTGACCCTTAACCCACCATTATTTGATGTATGACAAAAACTTGCAAACAAAGTGCAAGAAAAATTTAAGAAAATATTAATGAAGAGAGAGATTAGTAAATTGGTAAATTAACCAACAACAACCCAAAAAACTCGAAACAAAAGACAGAGACAGAGACAGAGAGAGGAAAGATGGGGGAAGGGGGAGTGGGTCCAGTGGGAGAATGGTTCAGCTCTCAGCGACTCAGCAATGGTGCAAAGTAGTGGGCTCCACACATACAGACAAATAGAAGTGTCCCTGCAACGTTTCAATTGGAATTTGGAACCATGTTGTTTGCGCCTACAGAAAAGTCCACGTCTCACGAAATCCTTTGTTCCCTTTTGAGCCTTTCATCCTATTCAACTGTCAAGCCACATCATGATGACTCCAATCACCACCATTTTCACTGCGGATATATGATACATTCTCCTCATTGCTCAGAAACAAGTTGTAAATAAATATGTTAATTTTATAAAGAATTTAAGCTAACCACTTGCTTAACCTCTTTCAATTTTATTCAACAAAAGAACACAACCTCAGTTGAAACCCAAGATTACGTATAGATAAAATATTGGAGGAAAATGGTTTATTAATTTACTTTTTCATCCATAATATTTAGTTGTAGTATTTTTTTAACTAACACAATTAATATTTAGTATTTTTTTATCTAACTTTTAATCTCGGATTTGAATTTTAATACGGAAATGATGGAGTCTATCGGATAAGAGAATATTGGGTCATTTTGTGTAGCCAATGATCAAAATTATACAAAATGTTACATTTTTTATTTTTAATTCTCAATTAAATTTCAGTAGTACTTTTTAATTATAGTATTAATATAATATTTTGTAATTATATAATCAAACATAATATTAAAGATTATGATATTTTAATTAAAATAATATATGTGATTACGACACAATCACTATATTGTATAATATTCTTTCTTTAATTAGTAAAAATCCTCTGGATAACACTTCTGTATAATATTTGTTTAGTTTAATGAATACGAAATTACTTTTCTTCTAACATATAGGATAAAGAAATGTAGGTAAAATCTAATTTATTTTATTTTATTTTATTATTTCTTTATATTTGAGATTGTTAAAAATTGATAGTTGATAATTGAAATTAAAATTTTAATATTCTACTAATAAAATACGGTGTTGGTTATTATATTATTATTAACTTTGTTCTTATGCATAGGCCAAAAGATAAAACTTCAGAGCTTACCCCATTGAGGAAAGAGAGGACAGTATTGTTTCGTGATTCTTATGGCCAAAATTAAATTACTATCAGCAGTATTTTTTTTTTTTTTTGTCTTTTTTGGGTGTGTGATCAAGACGAACCAATTTATATCATCCTCTAATGATGCTCAATAATCTAGAGTATCAAAAATTTAGTAAAAAATAAAAAATTATAAAATGATTAAAATATACAAATTATTCAACCTTAGTCTAGAAGTTGTAGTTTATATATCCTTTCTTAGAAGGGTTACAGTTTTAGATTCGTAATTGAAAAAATAAGTTCAAGATTCGAATATTATTGCCTTTGGTTGATATACAGCAAGCACTTTCCAGCACTGATCTGGTTTCATCACAGCGCATGGTGGCAATAAACAAGTCATAGATTTCCTTTATGGGACCCTTTTTCTCAAAATTTATTTATTTATTTTTGGTTTCTTAATTATTTGACTCTCATCTCTTTCTATCCCACTATTGAAATTTATGAAAATTTGTTTTTAAGATCTCTAATAGTTTTAAAATTACTTATTAGTGAAATAATAGTATGTGATTCGTTAATGGTGTATAAATTTTATAATAAGTGCATCAAATATAAATTATATATATAATGAACACCTTTTTTTTATTTAATTTAGCAGTCCCACAAATTTATTTGTATGTTAGTATTTCATTTTCTGGCCTGATTTCTTATTATGATATTTCTATATATTTTATCAATGTTTTTCTCTTTAAATAATATCACCAAACCCTATCATTCATATGTTATCAAATCAAATGATTAAGAGTAAACCCGAGATTCAATTAATTGTATCAGCTTTGATTAATGTGAATAATATGAATATAAAAATAGCTTCTTCTTTTTTTTTTAATATCAAATGTGGTTTCACGTGACTAAAATTATATGGATCGATGTTGCCTTAACAGCTACTTGATTTCGTAGGAAAAAAAAGGTAGTAGTATTCTCTTTATTTTCTTAATAAAATTTCCTATCACATGGCTTATGAATTTGGGGCAGGTGTGGGTGGCTTTTAGACCAAGGTTGAAATGTTATTTCTTGCACATGATTGATAACTTTTAGACCAAAATTTAAATCTATAATATAAAAGTTATGAAAATATTAAAAGTTTAATGTTTCTCTTAAATGTCTTTGGGGAGGTTATACTAAACTTTCTATGAAATATTATTTTTATTAATTCAAAACTTAATTCGATTAGTTTATATAATTATTTTTAAAATGAGAAATTTAGCAAAATCCGGTTTCAAATTTCAGTGACTTTTTTTTATATCCTTAAGTTACGACATCTTTTGTTAAAAAAAAAAAAAAATTTACTTAATTTTTAATATTTTTTATCCTCAACTAATAATGTAAGGCATTGGAGTAGGTGATATGATTTACTTAAATTAATTTTTTCTTGTTGACATCATATACTTTTGGTTGCTTATTAAGTCATTTCTTTATAGAAATATAATTCTTAATTCTCATCCTATAATTTCCTTTTATTAAATGACTAAGTCACACGACAAAAATATGATCCTTAATTTCTTTTCCGGGAAGGCGGTATTCCTTATTTCAGCTTCTAGTTTATTGGCTAAATTGAGTACTGTTGTCCAAATTTATATATTTTTCTTTCGCTTGAATCGATCTGCTAAATTAAAACAGATGGCTGTACTGAATTCGAATCAGCTTTGCACATGGGTAAAATGCTATCATGAGGGAAAAGCCACTGTTTATATCTCTCTCACCAGATGGTTCAGAGATCTCATATATTTCATATTGAGAAAAACAAGCATTCAAGGACTTGGAAATATTCTGTTTCGATCACTTGACGTTCTTTGGTTCTCATCTTGTTACTTTGTTAAGGACATTGTCAATTCATTTTAAAGATATCAAATGCTACGCAAATGATTTTTATTTTTCACCTTCAGCTGCCTCTTTTTGACTAGTAAAATATCTATAATTTTATGTATAAAAAATTGTCGATGCATTAATTGATTAATTTGTGGACGAAAATGATGTCTAAAAAACTTTAAGAACGTCTAGTGAAATTTCGTTTTCTATTTTTTTGGTTTTTAATATTTGAAAATGTTTACGAACACCTTACTTTTAAATATAGATCCGCCCCTGCCAATACCGTAGCCACTTTCATTTTCTAAATTAAAAACCAGTGTCAGTCATTTTCAATGTATTAAAAGCCGGATCACAAGATTATACATTTGATTCTGCGCCGATGATTACGTTCACATGTAGTGTATCTTTTGTCTTGAAAATGTCTAACGTTTTGATTTTTTAAATGTGCAAGGTTCTAGATGTTTTTGACAATTACTTCTCGATATACTACTCATCGATACAATAAAAACTACATAAAACTTTGCAATAACATTGCTGAATGACGAGCACCATCTAATATATCGAAATTCAATTACATCTCGTAAGATTAGTTATTATGTAAAATATCTTAGAAATATATATTTTTAAAGAGATTGTAATCTAAAAATAAAAAAAAAAATTTAATGTTAGAATTTAAATTGTATATATATTCGGTGCTACCTCTTAAAAGGATATTATCTTTTAAAGGTGGATGGATAAACATTTTTCCAAAAAAATTAAATTGCCAAGGATTTAATAACAAAGTTAAATTAAGACATATTCTTTTAGCAGCTTCATATTATTTTTGACATGTGGGAGAAGGTTGATTAGAACTTTAGTCCTTGATTTCATTCAGTTAAAATTTGGGCTATGTTTGTGGGAGTGGGCAACATTTGGGCTTTTATGGAGTGCGTATTTTTTGGGCTTAACGGACAGTAATTTCTATATGCGAATTACGGGGCAAGCAATGGGCCTATTTGGGTCCGATGTGCACTGTACCAGGCTCCGCTGGCTGACTTAATACATATTAAGTAAAAGTCTCAATCCTGCAAATTAAATGCTTTATTGGGTTTATTCGACAACAAAACAAGTTTGGGCTGATCTAGTAACCAGCCCAATTGCACAACTCCAGGAAGGAGTTTTTTTTTCTTAAGTTATTTAGGGAAAGGGGGTTTCAAAATTCAAAGTCTGCACGAACAAGGAATCATACTCGTTAAAAAAAAGTGCCATTCTTGAAAAATGAGAGAATTAAAAAAAGAACAAAAAAAAAAAGGGAATATGATACATAGATTTAATTGATTATTTTTAGACAAGCTAAAATACTATTTATCCAAAAGATAATGTGACAAAACTCGTTACTTCAATTGAACTAAATTCGATTTTTAAGTTTATGTATGAAAATGATAGTTAGGAGATAAGTTCAAGATTTTAATATATCATTTATATATAAAAATATAAATTTAAAAATATTAAAAATATGAATTAAAATACTTGATTAAATTTTAATTTAAAAAATATTAAAGTGATCTAGCGAGTTTTTGAAAATTACTAGAACACATGACTACCGGCATTGGAAAATTTTGCCAATTTAACTTTTGTGAAAATGAATAATAACAAGGGTGACTTGAATATTAATGTTTCAAGTGCATTCTTTAAAGTAATGGGAATGGGAGGGTAGCTCCCCCTATCAGATAAGCCAAATATGCATTATGTAATGCTATACTTTTATAGAAAGGTGATGAAACTGTATTCTCCAAAAACATGCAATATCATTGGTCGTCATCTTTCTAAATTTTCAAAGTGGTTGAAACAATAGGCTGCCTAACAGTCTGCCACCACTAAATTTTGGACAAGTCAACCTCAGAAACTTAATCAAACTCCAAAACCCTCCATTTGTTTTACCCTCAAGAGTGACTCAAATGAATAACCATTTGTCACATGCAAAATATGGTGATTTAGAAGGGAAAAAACTTGGAAATTTGTTCTATAAATGGATTAGGATTGAAGGAAACAAAAACTTTCCGTTCAGTGAGTTTGTTCAACTAATGACATATTCTTTTCTGTGTGATGATCATCTGATTTTAATGACTTGAAAATCTGAAACTTTTCCTTTGATATTAAATGGTTTGAAGAAGGTCAAAGTCAGTGGCCTAAACTTCTAAAGAAGATGATCCCACGGGATTCACAATTAAATAACAAAAAGGCAGCTTCTCCAATGCAACGTTTGGTGAACATTCTCATTTTCCATTGATTTGGTGGTCAAACACTTTGGAAATAATGGTGCTTTCCACGTCGACGCCAAAAGGAGACTAAACCTTCGTACAATTTGAGTCGTTTGGAATTTAGGATTTTGTTAATTTTTCTCTAAAATTAGTCATATGTTAATATCATAAATTTCAAAACATTGAAAAAAATAAATATTTAAAATTGCTATGATTTTAATAAGTGCTGTATTATGTTTTTTTTGTAAAAAAAATTATTTGACATATTAATAGTGATATTTTTTAATTTTACAAATAAAATTAAAATGATAATAAATTTTATTTTTTTTATTTTTAAATATACATTAAGCAACACGTGTCACAATTTTAATTTTATTTATAGAAATAAAAACTCTAACATCAATACATATGAAGGTCTTTTAAAAAAAAATTTAAAACATTTGTTAGCATAACTTTTTAAAAATTGATTTAGATGAACAATAAAATTAATTCTAATAAAATTAAATAATAATAACAATGAAATTAATTATTTTAATAACAAAAATAAAATCAATAGTAAAATTTTATATTTAAATGCAAATGATAATAATTAAAAATCACACTAAAACAATAAAGTATCCAACGAAATTCAAACAAACCTAAATTAAGCTCTTAATAAAAGAATAGATTTTTTTTTTCCTCAAGATCAATAATCAGATCCTCGATGATTTGATTTTGATACTTCCAAACTATAGCCTAGTAATTAGGAGCTAAAGGAGTGGTTTTGTTGAATGAAGATAACATGCATTTGTAACCACTACTTTATTTCCTAAAAAATTTGGCCCATCATCTTTACATCTCCCCCACCATAACCCTAAAAACAAGTTATAAAAAAAAGTCTTCATAGTTGTTATTCTATTAATTTGGCAAAAAAATTTGTCACTATTAGAAAATTTGAAGAATTAAAAAAAATCCATAAAAAAATGCAAAATTCCAGCTTATTATAAAACCAGACAGACAATAAACCCAAAGCTGAACCCAACGACGAGGCAGGAAGCAACACCAAGGACAACAACAACGTAGTAAAGTGAAACCATCAATGTTTAATACAACACAAACAAAATAAATACCCAGCCAAACGTCTCTCCCTCTCTGTTTCCTTAAAGATGAACGTGTCAGAAATTGGTGAGTCTAACCGAGTTGGACTTGACGAGTCTTATCGACCTCTGCCTTCTCTCTACTTGGGTTTCCTTTCCATTTGGTTCTTCTCCGCTTGTTCTTGGACTTTCAACACTTACAGAAACCGCCATTTTCAGGTTGTTTTCTTTGAGTTACAAATTTTTGAAGTTTTACGTTTCATTTGATTGAATTTTGTTGCTTTATTTATTAAAATCAAGTCTTTAACTTTGGTTGGATTTTTTAAAAATTTTTTTTTTTTCATAATTTGATAAATAATGACGGCTAATAACTGCTTTAGTTAAGCTGAAACTGCCTGGCACAAATTTTCTTTTCCTTTCCATTTTTTCAGAATTTCTGTTCTTTTTTTATTTTTTCATTTTAGTTTTCCAATAAACAAACTGGGCTTAATTGTTGATATAATTATCATCAATTTAATAGAGGAAAGATATTTATTTTTCATTTTTTTGCGGTAGATATAAATTAGCATGAGGGAAGAAACTATAGTCACCTTGTAAAAAGTTCAATTTTTTTGAAGTTATGTTCAAATTGGCCAATAAAGTTTAAGTTTTTATCAATTGGTTTTGAACTTTGGATGTTCCTTCCAATTCCAACCATATTTTTTTGTTCTGTTCTATAAGGTTAAGCCTCATAGCTATTTGATGTAAATTTTGTATCTTTCAAAAAAAAAATTTTTTACATACGTAATAATGACAAATTGTTGGATGTTTCTTATGGAATTTGATCATTGTTGTAATTTTGTTTTTCTGTTGTGTTATTGTTACACTAGAACAGACGAATAGTTTACAATGGACTCTTTCGTCTCTTCCATTGATCAAAGCCTTGCAACTCACTCTATCCTTCCTCTTTTGGTAAGTTCCGATTTTGCAACAAAAGTTATATTGTTTGTCTTTATTAATCTGTCATGCAAAAAGTTAGAAATGGGGTTTTATTCCTATGCAGTTTCAAGTATCCATAATTTTGTGATTTTTTGGTGAAAAAATAAATATTTTTTTATTGCTTCATTGATTACATGCATAGATGGAAAGAGCTTGTTAAAATTGGTAGTAATAACTGCTTTGCATCTCTGAATGTGACTCCATTTTAATTGATTCAGTGTCACTTCTGCATTAATTTCCCTAATATTGGAAAACCACAGCAATCCTGAATCTCAAAACAGTTATTTTCAGTTTGCAAGATAAGGGAAAATTCCAGGTTAGGACTTAGGCATGAAGATGATTATAACGATCAAAGAGATGAAATAAATATCACGGGAAAATGAAGTTAATGGTATTTATTTATTCAATGTGTTCATAGTTATGAAGAATTAGAAAGCCATTGCAGGAAACTCTGGCGTATTTACTACATGTTACATTTCATGGCTATCTGCAAGAAGTTTAGCTGTGTTGCGTATTTCAATTCTTCTTTACTTTGTGAAAAAGCTATTTTTCAGAACTCAAAGGGACTGTTCTTGCAGGTATTCATGCTTTTATCTTCAGATATGTTCATTGTGGATGTCATTTGGGGTGTATGTAACTGGAGTGCTGTTTCAGACAGCTTCATTTGTTTCCTTTTTGCTCATCTCTCATGGATACCGCATCACCTGTGAGCGCCTTTCAATAACAGAGCGCCGAACTACTGCTGCACTTGGATGTGTATATTACTTGACTCTTGTTGGTTACAGAGCTTCTGTACCTTATTTCACAGTGAGTTTCTTGATTATGTAATGTATTCTGCTGGCTAATTAAGTGTAATTTGTGTTTGTTTCTTCCTTTAAGTAATGTACTAATAACACCTTTTAATGCACTGTTTTACAGGTTCTTCTACTGCTTAATTACGTAATTTCATTCTATGTAATTTTTCACCATATATCTCAAAATCTATTAGTGTTGCGGGAACAGTTGACTTATATAGAGGATGAGGATGTCCAACCAATGCATGATGCTGTTTATACGAAGTATATAATGTTCAAGTACGTTTTCTCATTTCAATATGTTAATCCCTAATTAATTGCATTTAATGAGAACAATATCATTAGTTAAGCTTGGTTCACAACTGTGCAGAAAATTTCAGGGTGCTATGCAAATAGTTGCCTTGGCTGAAACTGTGGTATGAATATGTCAACCTCATCTTCTCTAGCTATGGCAATATGTGCGACATACAGAACATAAATTCATGACTGATAAGTACTTGACATTTTCATTTCCAGATATACTTAAACATGGATGACTCCTCAGAGACTTACTGGCTTCGGTTGTTGGTTCGAGAATGGGCACAATTCTGCATTTTTATGTACATTGGGTATGCATAAATCACCCAATTATGAGTCTTTCCTTGGAAATTTTAGTTCTCAGTCACTAATGAACTCATGTATTGTAGATCAAAAGTACTATTATAAATGATTTTTAATCCCTAGCTTAGACATTAAGCCATTTCAATACATTATTTTATGGCTTTTTCCTTTTTGTTATTTGCAGATGGACTTTTAGGTCACAAGAATTGGCACCACGTTTTTCAGTTATGCCAACTTTGAAATCTAAAGTAGATTCAATGGTCCCTCCGATCTACCGTATAGTAAGTTAAATTTCCATTTGAATCGTTAAAGAGGATTCTGACTAAATTTATTTGTGAGATCTCTACTTGTATAGCAGACTCTTAGGGAGCTGGGCATTACTCATTAGTTTCCAAGCGGAAGGACTCATTTAAAATCTTAATTGACATTGCATAAATGATAAATGATTAAATTGATATTGACATCCACTTGGTGCAGCTTGTCTCATTCTGCATTGTCTATTTCTAAGATCTCAAGAAATAACATGTTTCTTACTGGTTGTAATCCATTAGACGACATCCTTGTTAACATCCTTTTTTATTAGAGCATGGCCGGTATCAAGGCTGATTTTGTGATTTGACTCTCGAAGAACACCCATCTCGCAGTTGATACGTCTTTCCGTTACTCTGATGCTTTGACTTAAGTAGCCTACTTAAACTCACGGGGATTGTGAAAATAAGCTTCAACTTCTGTTTTGCTTTTTAGCTTAAGTTTTGATTGATGCTCTTTCGGCCTAGAAAGTAAAGACTTACATCAGATGCCTAACACTTGCTTTTGGGACTGATATTCGTGTCTGTCATGTTTTTCCCTTTAATCATTTATATTTAGAAACTCTATTGATAATCATAATTCGATTAATAATTTCCCTTTTTAAAATCCTAAGAACATTGGTGCTACCCAAATAAAAGAGGCTCAGAAGAGCGAATTGCCTTCCATGAATAGAGGCAATAATAATACTACTATAGCAAACTTCATTCTTATTTTCTATTTCTGATAATACCAAGTCATACAACTTCAGGAAATGGATGCTACAACTTTCAGAGAGTTTCAAAGTCATGAATGGCACATCGGTGTGGTAAGCAACTCAGATTCAACTTGCATTCACTGACAGTTGTAACTCATACTAGATATTTCTTGAGTTATTGCTCCACACATCAACATCTATTATCTTTGAAACTCATTTCATGCACCACTGTAATGCTTTCTCAACAACCTGCTATTTAACTGTTTAATGTGTTTAGTAGTCTGCCATTAGAACGTCAAGTGCCCTTGTTTACCAAAATTTGTTTTACTGGTGTAGCCAACTTCTCTCTGCCACGAAAGTTCTAGAGATTCAGTTTTGGTAATCATTCAGCATCCACATGCATATAGGCCGACATTGGGCGCGACACCATTCAGAAAGCAGCCAGTATAGCTTCTCAAACTGCAGATTCCAGTGACGGATCATGTTCATGCAACAGTTACAAGCAAAGTATAGATTAGAATAGCTGCAGTATGGTCAACAGCAAAGTTTCACACACGAGTTAACACAAAATTTTCTTTTCATTTTTCCATATAGAAATCTGAAAAAGGATCCATCCAGATATGTATCCAAATATTCTCCATTAATTACAAATTGTACATTCTTCTCCATTGCAAGTTGCAATGCATCCTTCACTGCAATATTTTGAGCACCAAACTTAAAATTAGGATTTAACCAGGTAATCTAATATATATTTTTAATAGGAAAGCCTAAGTTTCATAACTTATTTCTAAAAAATTTGAATTATAGGATTTTTTTTCCTAATTTAATCTATTTTAAAAATATAATAGTTGATTATTTTTCTAGCCGTTGTTGATGTAATTTGGGGGGTTCAGTGAAAGCTGGAGTAGCTGGATGTTGAGTTAGTGAGCTCATAAGATTTGTCATGATAAGGTCAGATGGTCGTTTGTCTTAAGCCAAGTATAAGCCATGTATGTACGCTGATGACGTGGCTGGTGATGTGGCAGGCAGGATGGAAAAACATCATTGTTCATATTTGCTTAAATTCTTCACTAAACCAAAAATCTATTTTGATTTGGGTCCATTAATAGTCAAGCCAACTCTGAACTGTACCCGACCTGATTTATTCCTGTTGCCAACAGAATAAAAATCCCATTTTAATATTTCAAAAAAAAAAAATCCCATTTTGAAATTCTGAGTCTACTGGGAGAACAGCAAATTAGCAAACACTGGAAGGGCTAAAAAAAGAGGCAACTTAGCGATCAAAACACTGTCAAATGAGCGCAGGTAATGGAATAAGATTGAAATTGATAACCCCGTTTAATTTTACTAGATAAAATTTTTTCTTTGATAATAGATCTCTTCAAAGTTTCCAGCTAGCCATTTTAGTCCTTAAAAATATCGTTTTTCCATGCGTTCGAAAATTTTCGATTGTCAATTTCCATGCTTTTTAAACTGGAAAATTAAACCCTTTTCGATCGGATTTTAAAGGGTCTGTTGCCTGTTGGTCCTGAAAAGTCCTTCAATTTCTTTGGTTCCAATTTGAATTGTTCATGAGCTGTTTGATAAATGTCCTATGAAGATGCTAGTTTTGTATTTTCCCAAAATTGTTAGCCTTTTTGAGGATAATTGAACCAATAAAAGCTACTAATTCTGTTGCTAAAAAAAAATTTTTTTTTTTGGTTCTTTGTAATTGTGTTCAAATAATTGTGTGGTAGTTTAGGGGCAGGTGGAGCATTTGGTGGGAGTAGAGGGCTGAGACCAGTGCCACCAGAGAAAGGCATCTTCCCTTTGGATCATTTGCATGAATGTGACTTGGTAAGTAATGTTGCTTTTGAAGCACTTCAATGGAACTACATTCTCTTGAAAAGGGTTTTGTATTTGAGGTTTTGATTGGAATGTCTCCTTTTTTTTTTATATATTTTTTAAACACTTGTTGTTGCTAACTGTTGGTTTTTCATTTTAGGAGAAGAAAGAATACCTCAATTGCCTTAAAACTTCTGGCCATAAATCAGAAAAATGTAGACAATTCTCCAAGAAATACTTGCAGTGTCGAATGGAAAAGTGAGTGTAATTTTCTCTTTTTGCATCTTTTTTTTTTATAAGGATATGTGAATTTAGTTGCAGTATGGTCTTTGCTTCTGATAAAGAAAGGGATTTTTATGAACATATACCGATTAGTGTTTTCAAATTGTTCTATATTCCTATGGTGATAGGCGCCTGTTTTGATGTTTTTCCTGTGATATTATTTTTATTTTCTTTCCAAAAATTTCATTAAGGAATATCTTTTTGCTCAGAAGTTTACATTCCTGGTTCAATTTTACTGATCTTCATTATGTCATTATGCCATAACCCTGTGTGCATGCCAAATCCGAAATGTAAATTCCTGGAACTGAAATTTGTAAAGATATTTCTTGGGTACTCAAAAATCATGGTGATTGGTGGATAAAAGTTAATAAATTCATGATTTAAGATCTTGTTTATAACTTGATAATTCTGACTTTGAAATGGAAAAATTTTGTTCTTCACTAATAAGTACTCGTTGGCATTTTACAGGAACTTGATGGCAAAGCAGGACTTGTCAGAACTTGGATTTAGGAAGCAATCAGAGATGGAAGCTTCTGGGGATAAGAATAATGAGACAATCGACAAATGAAGCTGATCGCCCAACATTCTCTAGGATTACTGATGAAAGATTTCTTGCATTACTAAGCTTTTTTTCTTGTGCTCATAGGAATGTTCCCTTTGTAAGTGGCATATTCCTTGTTGAAAGATACATGTGGAAAAATCTGGAAACTAGAGCTTTCAAAACTCTGGTATAACATAAACATTTTAGTAACTCAATATTGATGAGAAAGTTAAAAATGCCAGGGAATTTATTGTTGCATCTTATTGTTAATAATACAGTTAATTTTCCTTCATTGTCTCTGCGATACAAGATGCTCACTTCATTTTCTGCCATAAGTGAAATCTTAATTTCCTGATATTGTACCATTCATTCTTGCTATTCGAGGTAGAACCATTCTTGATTGATATTCCTCTTTTCCTTTTCATTTCTAGGTTCTTGTTTAGGGATTCATACTCAGAGTTGAGATGATCATTTAACTTGAGCTTGAGCGTTCATGCTTTCCATGTTAGTTTGAGCCAATGGAATACTTATCTATAATAAGTTGACAACCCTGCAAATGAAGCCAAAGGGTTCTTTGGCCTTATGAAATGCGGCCCTTAAAAAGTTTCAAGGACAAGACTGTTTCAAGGTTTGAGGTTGTGGAACATACGGCTTTGGGCAACTAATCCAAAATATAGTCAGAAAATCTCAACCTTTGACATTCTTTTTTTTGGTGTCATGTCTCTGTCAAGGAACAGAAATGTGGTTGACGCCCTGATACCAATATGAAAACTTGATGCAGATTTTGAAAAGAAAGGATTCCGACATCCTTTATAGCCTGTACTATTATTGGACAAGAGGTTCTCTTTATCAATCAATTTGCTGTCACAATTCCTAAGATCATTGAAAGAGATTTGATTACAAATCTTCTTGTTGTTTCACATTCTGATGTTCATCAAACAGTAGAGTGCTTCATCTCCTGTACAAAATTCACCTGCTTCAACTTTTCTAATACAACAGAATCAAAAATGAGACTGGTGAAGGTTGATAAGGAGCATACTTTTGAGTGATGAAGCAGGCAAGCCTCAGCAAAAATCTAGAGAATTATGAGTTTTCTTTAGCTTAAAATTCTTTCTATTATAATCTTACAAATTAATTAATCAAAACAAAAAAATTATGTAGAGATTTATTATTTATAAATTCGAGCTTCATCTATTATTTTGATGAAATTTTGATTAACTGAATGTAATGCAATAATTATTGATGATATATTTCAAAAAAAAATTTATTAGAGTTAAATTTTAATATTGTATAAAAAAATTATTTGAAACTTTTAAAAATTATTATTATATATTATCTCGTGTACAAATTTGAAAATTCTCTTAATGACATGATTATACGTACAAACTATCAAATTTTTGTTGATTAGTGATCTCATCAGCATTTTTATTAACAATGTTGAGGGTTGAATTATTTGATAAACAGATTTAAAATTTGAGTATTTAATTGGATTTTTTTAATAATATAGGGGTTGCACAGTATATTAACCATTTTGCTTAATACTGTGAAACCACGATATATACAATATGGAAAGCGTTAAAAAAAAAAAAAAAAACAAGAGAAGGAGGCACCTAGTATCTATCAAAATTAGAAAATTATTATTTCACCTAACCTTTTAATACCATGAGTCAAGACACGGATAAATAAGGTTGTAATAACAAATATTAATTATTTCGCAAATCAAAACTATGCCTTTTGTAGCACACACCAACTTTCATTGAAAACGAAAATAAAACAAAAACTGCAGGCTGGTGACAAAACCTAAGGCAGACACCAACTTCCATCTTTCCATGTGATTACAAAAAACAAACTATCCTTTCAACTCTGTCTCTCCTTCTCTACCTCGATGCTTTCGCTACCACCGAAACTTTCTTTATTTCAAACGTCAAACTAGCACCTTTTCCTTTCTTCTTTGCATTTTTCTTCTGCTTCTTCTTCTTCTTCCATGGCTTCCCATTTGTCTCTTCAACTGCCCTACTTCTTCTACTACACGTAAGTTTTATTTAATCTCCCATGTTATGCACGTGTTTGATGTTTTACTCTGTTGAAACTGTAAACTTCAGAAATGGATATAATTGCAAAATATTTGACTTTGTTGCGTTGCCTGCATCAAACAATAATCTTAATTTGTTTCATTTGGTAATCAGTTTTAACTGATTCAAAACATGCGTCTATTTGATTCTTTTTGGTTATGTGAAGTTGGTTGACTTTCTTTTTTCATATATTTGCTTAGTTAGGATCCAAGAATGTACTCTAAATACCCATTTGATTCAACAAAAAAGGCTATAAAAGAAGAAACATAGAAGATGCAAAGCAATGTAATATTAATGGATTTAGTGGTTGAGAAGTTGAATTTATTTGTCTGTAACAGACAAACTTTCCGATCTTGTAGTGGATGGAATTGGAAGAGCAATTCAAATACACCCTACTATTGAAAGTTCAATGGACGGCTGCAAGGGAATCAGCTCTCGGCAAAGAAGAGAAAGTCACTTGGATTATGGTTTGCTGGTTACACTTCTTCAAAGGATATATTTCGAAATGCATTATCGTCAATGTCTTCTTCATCACCTCATTGTGATCCAACTGATACTGGGAATGGTGCTCTTGTACCTGAGGCTGATGGTGCAGTGGAATTCAATCGGGTTAATTGTCTTGTTTGGGTATTACACGAATCAGCCAGAAGCTTTTCCCTTGCAGTTGAGTCACTTGAATTGGCCGGAAGCAGTGCAGAGCTTGCTACGGCTTGGAATGGAAAGGATGTGCATCAATGGCATAAACGTATTGCTCATCGGGTACATGCTCGAATCCCCAAATAAATAAAAAACAAATTACGAGCCTGTAAATTAAAAAAAAAAAAGTCTATGAATGGTACATTTTAAGTATTGAGATTTATGTTGATGGCAACTAGTTATAGACAGGATAATGATATGTGCAAGCATTTATGTGTTTCTGTTTGTTGTTAGTTTCTTGAACAACCATCAGACAGATATTTTGTTGACGAAGATGGATATTGTTTGATGAATTATTAAAGGAAATGACATATGGGAGAAGAATCATTGACTAATTTGACTCTTCAGGTAGCCGTTTTTGCAATGTTGAAAACGGCAATTGAAGTGGAGATTTTGCTCTCTCAAGAACGTCATAACAATCCATCCCCAGTTAGAAAGACGTAAGTTTTTGTAGTGGTTCTTTTAATCTATGTTATTATTATAACTGATATTAAGAGATCTAAAACTTCAAAAACCAACTCTTTTTTTTTTTAAAGATTTCATACTGTTAGATTAGACTCGGAGTGTCGGATAGTTTTTGTGCAAATACCTTCAGGAAACTTATGTTTCTCTGACTCTGGCCATGTCTATTGTCATTTCCCCTTGTCCATTATGCCTGGTGATAATTGGTTGTTAGCAGCTCTAACCTCTTGTTTTGCCATTTGCTTCAGCTTGACCCCAGAGACAGATTTGTTAGAGGAGTTCATTGAAAGTCAGTTGAAATTGAGACATTCAGAATTGGTACAATGGTTCAGAGTGGTGGAACTTCCACGGATAGCAGGATTTTTCATTCCATTGTTAAAGAAGTGGTCTATCGAGTATGCAGGAAGGTTTGCTCAAAATACCCCTCTGCTTGCTAAGGGTTTTTTTTTTTTTTTCCCTATAGGATTATTGACATCCTCCCTAATAAATAACTCCCATTAGCAAATGTGGATGGGGTTCATATGGTTATTTCTTCCCTCATGCTAGGAATTTCTCCTCTGAAGAAATTTGCTGATTATTCTGTACCTTGGATTTATTCTAAACACAAGAATATTCAGTGGTGTTGCAGGACTTATTGTGGCTATAAGCTGCTGTGCTGCAGTAGAGAAATTGGGTTCTGAGCGTACCTCTTGTCCCTTGTCTAAAATGTCAATAGGCGATGCTCTAGTGGAGCTTATGAATCTTTCTCATAGTATTGTTTCGGTTGACAAATTACATCAGTTAGCTACTGAGGCAGGATTTGAAATTCATTTCCTGTCACATTTTGGTGCAAAGTTTCTGTCTAGGAAGGAGAGTGATGAGCTAGAATTTTGGATAGGGTTGGCTCAGAGAAAACTCTCAGTGGCTTTCTGCAAAGAAACCATGATTCCGGGCAAACTTACATTTAAAAGCAAGGTTTGTTTCATGATACCTGAGTCATTTAGTATTTTTGGTGAGAATTTACTTTGAGAACATATTGCCATCTCACTTCAAATTCATTTAACATCAAATTTCTCTTTCCTCTTTATTTTGCCCTTGCCTAAAGATATTGTCTCTTTGTCAATAAGTATTAAATATTTAAACCTTAATCTTTTATGTAATTTCACATTCTTTTCTTGTTCTTTTTGTTTCCTCCTAACAATTTATTGCTTCAGGTATGAATATTAGACTTGCATACTTACTTTTAATATACATTGGGTTGAGAAAATTTTTAAGTACTTCTATTAATATTGAGTTGTCCTTGCCTTTGTCTTTTATACTTCCCTGCTTTTACAGTTTTAGTTGTTAAGCAGCTGGTTTTAAAATTTTGACAGGTTCAAGCAGATAGCTTGGCTACTTTAGGACTTTTTGCTTATCTAGGAAGGAAGACTAGAATATTTTTGTCACAAATGCGCATAAATGATCTTGATGAGCTGGTAAAGGACTTCCTGAGGTAAAATATGTCAGATTTCATTGACTCTGATTATTGGAATTCATCGTTGAAATAAACTACAAGAGGTGTAGTGCTTTGGCTGCAGCTACTTGGAGTGTGGCAGCCTTTTCATTTTCCCAGAATTATCTTCTATATCAGTTTACCAATTCTTCATGGAGGTTAGTTTTATTATGCCTAATACACAGAATTCTCTTCTATATCAGTTTACCTATTTGGAATGGCTGGGAAGGACCTTTCTTCAGATTGATTTCCCATAGAGTTTGACAAGAGGTCTTGTATTTTATTTTTGCCCTCTGTTCCTGGCTTAGGACATCAAATTGAACTATGAGAGTATATTTCAATCTGGCATTTTTCAGACCCTCAAGTCCAAAATTAACCCTAATGCTACAATTATATTTACAGGTAGTAACTGATGAAATTGGATGGCTTGATTTTTATGGTGAAATTTCTAGCATAAGCTATCAAGATAAAAGAAGGTCCAAGCAGCATACAATTCAAGCAGAGAAAGAAATTATTTTATCAAAAGTTTTTACTGTTTGCTATGATGTCTTTTCTGGGTTTGCACACTTCATCCGCTCAGCTCAGCAGCCCTTAGATTCTGAATTGTTAGCATTCTTACTCCGGAGGTAGCTAATAATCTTTCTATCTTAATTTTTTGTTTCATTTGTTTTTTCTACTGTAGTTGGCTTTTTAAGACATGGTTCTCTGAATTTTTCAGCCAAAGCCTGTTAACCATTTGTCTGGAAGACTACTGGGCTGCTTATGATAGAATAGGGTATGTTGATTGTTTCGGATGGCATCCCATGTTATTTTCCGAAGTTGAATGAACATTGTCTTAGAAAAATAAGAAATAATTGTACTACTATTGAATTCTCTAGCAGTGAATCATTAAAGATTACAGAATCAGGTGCCTCTAAGCACACACCACCAACGGCAGCTATTGGCATGACCCGGTTTCCAGTGGCCATGGAAGCACAAGGAAAATCAACTGATTTGATAACAGAGGAATGTCAAATTGATGAATTTGGACATGAACATATGCTGAAAAAGGTATGGATTCTATATTAGGATACACAACTTTTTATGCATATTTTACTAGGCTGAACAACTTATGTTATTTCCTTTCACCATATATTCTGTTCACAAAATTATTGGAGCTTTGAGAATGAAAATAATGGTGAACTACTGTACGTACAGTTTAAGCAATGTAATTTGACTGAAAATTTAAAAAACTCATGTGCAAGATACATCTTTCTCATTATCTGGAAATACTAATTAACTGAGAAGAGAAGAAACTGATAAATGAAGTGACAAAGTGCTTCTACTGTGTTCTGTGATCAATATCAATCAAGGAAAAAGTCATTAAAATTGCAATGCCATTGTGTTTTACATGTGAAACATGATTGGCTGAAACCACAATTTAAGGAGTGATTACCCTAGAAAGCATAGAAAGAGATGTTCTTTTCTAGAAAGTATATGTTGCCATAGTATTGTGGGAAATCAGACATGATTATATGAACAGTGATGACCGTACGAGATAGGATGAGCAACTAAGATCAGTTCAAAGGTCAAAGCATGAGATAGATGCCAGAAGGTACAGGAATAAGATGATGATAAGGTGCGTGTCCAGTGCTAACAATAGAATTTAACATGCCACGGAATTTAGCCTAAATGGGATAAAAGTAATTCACAATTTTACATTACCGGTGCCTAGTGTTAACTATCAGTGTCTCTTATTTCGATAGTTTTCCTATCTACAAGCCTGAAGCAGGGCTTGCATTTATGCTTAACATTATAGAACCATTTCTAAGGTCATTATATAACAAAAAGGAAAGGTCACTTCACCATGAAACTTCATGCAATAACGCTTGTTACTGATGTAAAATTGATATGCAATTTTGAAACCAACAATAGCATTGAGCAAAGTAAACTATTAAGTAATTATTTTGACAGGTGGCTTTGTGAGATTGTGAAATCATATACGAAACCTTAACAGCTTAAGCGGATATATCTTTGGACAACTGTTACCATTCTTTTATACTTTTAGTTTTCTTGCTATCGATAGTTGCAGGCCTCCAGTCCAGCCAGCACTGATGTAACCTTTGGGGAGGGAACTGGCATCCTCAAGTCAAATTCCCTGCATGAAAGTTTAATTAGAAAATACAGCATCAAATTGATATCTTCAAGTTCTGTAAGCCCAATGATCCTGCTTCTTGTCATTGAACAGAATACAGTAAAGTATCCGGTGAAAATTTTGCAGGATGTATGGTTGGGAACTCAGTTGCTATTCGTTGACATCATGGTTTCTCTTGAGCTACTCCTAAAGCAATTGCGTGGCCAGAAGGTCACAGCAAGAGAAAAGAGGAAGTTAAAAAGAACATTGAATGACATTGCTACACTTATCCCTGTTACAATTCTAATGCTCCTTCCTGTAAGCAGTTTGACCCTCTCTATCACCAACGCTTATGCACTCATAGGATGAGTAGCTTGTTACTTATATCTGATAAACTTTGTCATTAAGTTCTTTCATTAGGTGTATAGTTTCCAATTCCTTGAATGTGGTTCAATTATTATCAAATCTTCAACAAATTAAGAGGAAAACTAAATGGAATAGAGCATCACGATACTTTGTGGAATGAACATTCATCCGTTGTAGGCCTTTTCTACAATATCTCATTAACTTCCTTTCCTTATGATTAGTAGAGTTGCTGACCATGTTGTGATTCCTAGAATTTAGCCATCATCTAGCTCCGATTGGAGGGAAGTAATATCCTTAAGTGAACCATCATTTATAGATCTAAAGACCTGCCATGGCTACATGTTGTTACATACGTTGCTTTTGTGGTGTATCCTATGATCCTACTTGTTATAACTTATGACAAAGTTTCGATCTTGCATGTGCACTCTGGTCATGCAACGCAACTCGTTTGTATTTTGGATTCTTGTCTCAGTTGTGTCACTCATGCTTCAATCTAAATAGCTTAAAAATCTTTTCCCTATCGATCTTGCCAGGTATCTGCTGTAGGGCATGCAGCAATGCTAGCTGCTATCAACAAGTACATACCATCTTTGGTAAGACTTTTTGTGGCCTCCTCTTCTCTTTAGCCCGTATCCTTTTGACATTTCAACTTCTGCTAATCCTCTTTCATCAACTAGATTCCATCACCGTATTCTTCTGAGCGTTTGGGTGTTGCGAAACAACTAAAAAGAACCAAGAAGATGGAAGTTACATCGTGGAGCAACCTTGAAGACCCAACCTCTAAAACATCATAAACCCTTTCATGCTACTCCACGTCCAGGCCCTGCCTAATAAAAAATTAAACCCTGTTTGACATTTGATTCTGCTGACATTACTTTGAACTTAGAATTTGTATATGCACATTGATATGTAGATATGCTAAGAAGTAAGACGTAACTTTGAATGTATAGGTACAGCCTGCCTTATCCACTTATTTTCAGTTTATGGTTTTGGGAAGCAAGAGTATTCATAACAGCTCTTTTTCATGCATGCATTAGACAGATCTATTTATAGAACTACAAACTTCAAAATATGGATGATTCCATTGTCCCCTCCTCTCCTTTCCCATCCCCTTCCCCTACGCCAATCCTTAGAATCAAGGCCTACCCTTAGAGTCAAGGCCTGCCGATGGTGTACATTATTCGCCGTTGAAATGCTTTCCGAGTGAAAACAAAATATGACATGATCAATATTGGTCGATTATAAATATAACAACCAGCTAAAACAAATTACTAGAACTAACATTTATTCATTTTGCTATCCTTTTGCATTTAACACAAGCATTTCTCGTGGAGAAGGTGCCAAAAACTGGAGGTACAAAACTCTACAAATCCATTACAAGAGGAAGAAAGAAATTGAAGAAAAGAAAAAGTACTTAGAATACTAAAACAGCTAACTGCACAACATTTACCCAATTTTCTTTCATCTCAAGTGCAAACAAAGCTTAAAAGATTGTGATCTATTCTTTCTTTATTTAAAGATGTACCCCACTTCTATTACATGCAATTCAATGGTCAACGACAGATGTAATATCACTGCTCCATTATTTCAAAAGAACATTACCATCGTATAAGTGCTGGGGGATTCTAAGACATTGGGTCCGTGCAAGCACAATACCTTACACTATCCTCTTTGGATCGCGAGAGGCTGCAAGATGCTCCTGTAAAACAGAAACCAGATACAAGATTATTAAAGGTGTAATCCACAAACAACTCACTTCACAACTGAACCATATCTCTTTTGATTTAAATCTCATGTCATATTTAACAAAAAGAAAGAAAACAGAGTGGAAGGTGGAGGAATGTTGTCAAGCTAGGCTAGGCACATATAACCAGCATATATGATATGATGATAAAGAATTGAAATTGAAGCATTCCAATAAAAGATTTGCTTGAGAAAGGAACTTCTCAGACAGAAAACCACTAAAATAAGAGGCTTAAGTTATATGACAAGTATAGGCCCAGTTAAAGAGGGTGCTGCTATTTGCAGGAAGTTACTTGCACAGGCATGCAGTGAATTGTGGCATGATTGGACATAAAACAAGTAAAAGCATTCACAGGCTCAAAATGGTTCGGCCCATAAAACTAGACAACTGGCTCAACCAGGTGGAATTAGCACTACTTTTAACACTTAAGAGTAACTGATGCTCCACAATATATGCAAGTTGATTGGAGAAGCATCAACAATATATAATAATGCATTGTTCCATCTGAAATTTGACAAGTTCAATAGCAAGTTATTACATGTCTTCACATCTAGCATCCAGCATAAACAGCAAGTCTTAACTAATTTCTCACTTTCCACCTTTAAATGCAATTTTAGCTGTCTAACTAGTGGATAAAGTTAGCATGAAGAAGTTTTTAACAGCTAAGTACCTGGCTCAGATAATTAGGCTTGACCACCGGCAGGGTGGGTAAAGCTCATCATCAAACATAAAATAACATGTAGTATGAGTCACAAGACAAACAGCAGAAGTCATTGAAAACAGAAACAGGGTTGACTGGAAGCTAAAGGTTCTAAAACTTTGCTTCCTCCAATTTCTAGCAGCCAAGGAGGCACCATCCCATTGAACCGGCATATCTAATAAAAGACATTCCAGGGTAGGACCTCGTAGATTTTGATAAGTAATGGAACAATTAGTTCATTATGTGAAGAGGAAATTGGTACAAGACTACCTTAAATAGCATATGCTAGAACTTAAACTTACCGAAATAAAATCAAATGCTCTGGTATCTTCTTTCTTTGAACCGTTCATCATTGAATTAGGTGTTTGAGTTGGAAAATTTGACTGGAATATATCAGGCAGAGGTGACCCTCCATTAGATCCACTGGAAACATGATTGATGCCAGCATTTCGAGCATTAAGATCACCAAAGTGTTGTAAGTTAGACATCGTTGCAAGCAATTGCTGTTGTGTAAAGAAACTCCCCATAGCACCATAATTCATAGGCTGAGAAGAAAAGGTTGGGTTCAACATTATTCCAGGAGGAATGGCATAGGGCATGGTCCCTAAAGGAAACATTGGATTTGCATTCATCCCAGCGGCTTGAGAACCAAGGATACCACTCAAAACATCATTAGAAGCTTGATAGCTAGAGTGAGTGTTGAAATCAGTAAATATATTTTCAGGATGTGCCTCAGAAGAGACTCCTTTCTGCTTCAAATTAGATGGGTTCTCATTCATAGACAAGCCAGCTATTAAATCATTAACAGCATTTTTTTGATTCGCTGGCTCAAAAGGAGTTTCAAAATTGGTTCCAAAGAAATAATTTAGTTCAGATTTATTATTTGTGGCCATGTAATTACCATTGACAACTGACTTGTCATCTAACGTCATCCCAGAGAAGAGATCATCCACATTTTCTCTACCCTCACCAGTGTGAAATGAGACGTCTGCAAATGGATCAACATCATTTTTCTGTTCCCTCGTGCTGAGACCAGCATCTATACTATCTCCAAATAAGTCATCAATAAGCGAGGTTGCAGTCAGATTTGCAGTGTTTTGATCATGTTGGTTTTTTGTGGAATTATCTAGTCCATTGTAATCATCTGGATCACCAGTATCGATCAGGTCAGGCATTTGAACAGGTGTGGTCTCAGCCTTCAAATACTTTTCTGAATTACTTGCCAAACCACCTGGCAGTTCTCCATTCAAAAGGATTAACACCTGTTTACCATGCAAATATATGTGTCAACTGTGGCATCTACTTCGTTAGCTCGGAAAATAGTACCCTACCAGCTTTAAACTAGCATTCAGAGTAAATAGAAACCATTCAAAGTCATATAGCATTAAGGATCATAACATTGAAAGCAATCAAGATTAAGCACAGTGATCATACGAAGATAATGGATATTGTCGTTTATGCTTAAGTGTAATCAAATCAAGGGAACTGAAACATAATGCTACATCTGTAAAGAACCAATCTTAAAATATCTCAATTTATAAGTTCGAACAAAAGTAAAGATAAAGCTGTACTCAAATAATAATAAAGAAAAAACAACAAACAAATCAATATGAAGGGTCTCTTTACAATTCTGTACTGATGTTCAAGAGAAAAAATGAGGTAGCAAAGAAGACTTAATGTAATAGATAACAAAAGTTTCCTAGATTTTTTTATTATTTAAAAGATGAAATTAATACACTACATCAACTTAGATTTGCATAAATATGCCATCAAAAAAGGGGCAACACCTTAATGAACTCAAACAGGATGGAAAGTTCAATAGGCATTCCTACACTTCATCATGAAACCAAAATACAAACGACACTTAAAATGAATTTTAAATGCAATTTTCCATATCACCAAAAGCAAGTTCTTAAGCATCAGTTTACTGAATTAGAGCTTATTGTAGTTGCATAGTAAAATAAAGGGAAAAAAGAGAAAGAAAACCCTACAAGCATGTCATCAGAAACAGTGCTCTAGGCTGGCCTTAAACATTAACAAAGATTATATTTTCAACTTTCTGATTAAAAGTAAAACAGAGGGTTGGCTAAGATATTTACCTTGTTAGCCTTTTCTCTGATGGAAGTTTGGGGAGACTCGGAACATTTCAAAACAACATCTTTGTTCTCGGTAAAATAAGAAGCCACGATTAAGAAATGTGCATCTTCCTTTTTCCTCAAAACGGACTCAAGCACACACAGAGCTTTCATGCAAACCTGACCATCAATAATTCTGGTTAAAGTTAAAAGATAACTAAAAACACAAATACTCCATTCACTCCCCCCTCCCCCCAATGGCCTTGGCACTCCTGATTCAATACATATGCGCAGATAGTTACCTGCCACATTGGAGATAGAAGCTTAGATTCAAGGGCATGACTTAAAGCCAAAGCATCGAGCTTTGCAGCCTCAACTAGGAAAGCCTGAATGGCATCTCGAGTAGGTTGTAGACGAACACCACCAGATGTCACTATGGTTTCCAACAATCTCTCTTCACGAGTTTTAGTCTCTGAATAATTTGAGCTGGATTCCCCATTTGTTGTTTCTGTCTTTAATACTCTTGAATCCTGGCCCCAAGGTCCAGTAGCAGTACTCCTGGGAACCCCATGAGTGTCATTGGGCAATTCGACTGGTTCAAACCTATCAGAACGGTCAATTTCTGTAGTCAACGACCTTCGAAGAGTAGGACTTTTGTAGCTTCCATTATCATTCTTTCTAAGTGAATGACCCTGAGCGAAACTACTAATTCCCTGCTTGATAGAAGCACTTCCAATACCAACAATCTCACTTAGAAATGATTTCTTATCATCCGATGGCATTTCGAAGTTTGTGTTCCCAAATCCTTGTATTCGTTTGTTAAGGTCATCTGAAGGAGAAAGCTTACTAGTATTGTTGTCCTCTGCAAATATAGCTGAAACAGCTTCATGTGCTGTGTCCCGCACAGCCTTATTAAGTGAATCCCCCTTCAAGGGATCCGGCTGCCCTTTGAAATGAAATAACTGACGCACAGCCACTGAGTTCCTCTGCATCTCTCTTCTAAACTCCACACCAGACTTTCCCACGGCATATTTTATCAGCCTCAAAGCCTGGCAAAATCCCACTACCGAGTATTAACATGTTTTCATAATTCATAATTATTGTTAAACATTCAGTAACTCATAGCATTTCCTTTGAAGAGTAAATTAGGTTCCTCTCATCATCATCATCATAATAATAATAATAATAATAATAATAATAATAATAATGCTTTGATACTGATATTTAAGTCGGTTAAATTTTACGACCGTTACTTCTTGACTAAATTGAGTTAAAATTTTCACTTTTTAACTTTTCCAGCAAAATTTTCTCAGCCAAAATAACAAATTGATTAGAATTGACTAGATTTAACCAAACTGAACCAGAATTCAACGCGAATTAAATGAAATTACCTTTTGTTTAACGATAGGGCTTTTGTGATCGAGTCGTTTCAAGATAAACTCGGAGACCTCTTTAACAATACTAACATGCGACGATCTCAAGAGCTCACAGATCTCTTCTAACTTATAAACGGGCGTTACTTTGTCTTCATCCGAGGTTGCCCCATCGATCATCCGCGATCTCCAGTACGATTCCACCGCTCGCCTGCTCGAATCCATTAAAAAATTAACACCAAAAATACCCAAATTATTTGATTAAATTGAAGGGTTTAAGATCGATCTATTGGTTTGATTGGTTGGTTGAAGTAGGGCCGTTGAAAGCGAGGGAAATTGTTGAATTTCGATATATAGGGATTAATATGTAATTGATTTTGGTATCAAATTAGGGTTTTTTTTTTAACTTTGTTATTTGCTTTCTTTTCCTTTAAGAATTAGGAAAAGATCAAAGAGCAAGAATCTGAAAACTTCAAAACGTAGAGAGAGAGAGAGAGAGAGCAAAGATAGATTTTGGTTTTGGGAACGAAAACAGCCTCAGCAGGCTAACGCGGGGGTTACACAGTCAGACCTGCGTGATTCACGTTGTTTATTTTGTCTCTGTCACTCTCTGCTCATGGCTCGCAGCAGTTTATATAATTAAGAGGTGTTCATCTTTGGGCCCGTCCCTTTTAAAAGCCTAGTTTGAGTTTGGTCCCCTTTTTTTTTTTGAGGAATGGTCCGGTTTGTTTTATTAACTAAAAACAATCAATTCTGGTCCATTACTCGGGGTTTGAGCGAACGATCGGCCACTGTCAGGTATGTAAATTAAAAATTTTAGAAAATATTGTTATCCTTGCAAAAAATTAAAAGCAAACAGCCGACCTTAATTTAGAAAGAGATTTTAGATTTAAATTTTATATATGAATTTGATTATTTAATTAAATTATTATTTATCAGTAATAAAAATATATCATAGATTTCTATACTCTTTAATTTTTAAGAATTTAATTCTTCTAATCTAATTTAAATTAATTTAATCTTTATATTATTATTTTTAAAAAATTTTAATTTAATTATTTATAGTGTTAAATTTTATTCATTAAATTATTAACATGATTATTAACGTGATATTTTCATTAATTCTTAGAATTATTAATGTTGACATGGATTAAAATAATGACAACATAGATTACAAAAATCCATATTGACATTAACAAAAAGTTTTAAATATTACTTATTCTTAATAATTTCTAATATAATTAAAAAAGGCTTTGAAAATCAAAATAAAATACAGAAAGAAAAATCGTGAACCCAAAAACAAAAGGAACCCAAATTATTTGTTATCAAATCCTCCGTTTCTCATTCGTCGAATTGTGAAATCATTCCTCAAAACCAAAAAGACATTACCTAACCTATCACCCACCAACAGTAATCTATCACATAAACTATGGAATCAACCTACAATACTAATACCCTATCAACAAACAAAACGCCCATCACCAACAAACAACTAAAAATAAAAAACACATCCTCTGGAAAGGGAGAAGCAGCACCAACACATCTCACATACATATATATATATATAACATAGCGATTTTGGTTTTGAAAAGAGATAACTTCATGGGTTTAGAGGTGTTTTTAAGTGGATTTGGTTTGAATTTATAGAGAAGTAAGGAAGGAGCAACGAGGAAAGACCAAAAAAAGGATGCCACCGCTGTTGGTAAGAGTGGCAGCAGTACAGAGGAGGTCAACGGTGGCTAAAATTTTGGACGATTGGGAACGGTTAAAACGAAGAGTGAAAAGAGAGTAGCAACATCAAAATCTTAGGAGATTCAGATAGTGGAAGGGGAAGATTTTATGACTTAAAGTTTCAGTTATAAATTTCAGATTTAGGCAAATCTATGCCATTTTGAAAAAATCTAAGTTTGTAACAGAGAAGAGAGGGTTGAAAAGAAGCTTTGGTGAAAAATTGGGCTCAAATATATGCTGAAAATTAATATTATATATTAATTTTAATATTCTAAATTTAATAATGTTTTTTAAAATATTCAAAATGCCTATCTAATTTTCCCTGCTACATATTAATTTACATTTCAAATTTAAAAGTAAAAAATAAATTGAAACTAAGTAAATTACAAATATTCATTTTCCTTTTACGTCTAAATAGATTAAAGTATCCACATCAATCACTCTTGTTTTTTATGCATCATTATAAATGGACGCTTTGAAAAAAAAAATTTACTTGTTTTTTTACGTTTATAATCTTTTTCTTTTATCCATCATCCAATTTCGTTTCCCTTTTTCATATTTTATTTTTTATTTGAATCAATATTGTAATTTCATTTCATTGCCATGATAGGGTTTATGTTATCTCTTTGCTTATTCAAATTATTTTTATTTCCTTTATTTTGTTTGGGGTTTCATATTAGCATTTTTTTATTACGTTTAATAAAATTATAATATTAAAGCTGTAATAATTTTAATTATTAAATCAATTACCATACAAAACTGGTAAAAAAAGGGAAAAAGAAATCCCCGAGAGAAAACGAAAAAATTACCTTTGTTCTTGGTGTTAGGCTGTAGAAATTGTTAGGAATTGAATCCAAAAAGAAGGAAAAGGAGAATTGGAAGAAGAATTGAGGAAGAGATACCTGATGATATGAAGGAGCCGTTGCGAAGAACCAAAGTGGTGATAAGCCATCTGCCACCGTCACTCACCCAATCATTTCTCTTCTCTCAAATCGACGATCGTTTCTCTGATCGTTACAATTGGTTCTCCTTCCGTCTCGGCAAGTCCAGGTTAGGGTTTCTGTTCCTTTTATTCCCCCAATTTCCAATATTCCCTTCATTTTTTTATCTCATTTTTTGGCCTTATTTCTCTTTTGTTTTTTAATTTAGTTGTTCAGCAATCAAATTGAGCAAAATTCGTGTTTACACTGTTGAATATCTTATTTATGCCCTTTAAAGACTGATGTATTTGATAAGATGTAGCTATAGTTTTGCATTGAAATAGTAAGGCTTTGGTCTTTAGCCTCTGGAAAAAGGGTTTGGTTGAAATAATTGAAAGTAGAATTTGAAACTAGTTTGAGAGCCAATGTGATTTGTTTATGTATTTATTTTGCTAGGGATTTTTTTTTTTTTTGGCTTAATGGAGAACTGCCTGCAGTGGAAAGAAATTATTGTAATATTCAATCATGTAAACGCTAATCTCATTAGAAGGCGTGAGGAAGAGCATGGGATTTAATTGAGAAATGATATATAATTGAGCATAGTGTGTGAATAGTTGCTTTAAAACTTGTTGGAAACAAAGAAAGCTTTGAACATTTAATTGAGGATTTCTTTTGAACACGTTCTTATTTTTCCAGCCATAAGCATCAGAGGTACTCACAAGCCTACATAAACTTCAAGAGACCAGAAGATGTCTTAGAGTTCGCTGAGTTCTTTGATGGGCATACATTTGTTAATGAGAAAGGTATGTTATGGTTAAATTTCTGGTTCTTTACGATGTTTATCAACTGCTGACATGTTTCTCTTGTTTTAGAGGACAGCTTATGTGATTCTTACTAAATATGTGAAATAAAACTTTCTTTTGCATTGTTCAATTTGATTGCAATATGTTAATATCTTCTTCTCTGAGTTAAATATACCCATTGCCTCTTGTATTCTAAAAAATCATTTTGATGCCCCTTATTACAGGTACCCAATTTAATGCCATTGTTGAATATGCTCCTTCGCAGTGTGTCCCAAAGCCAGGCACTAAAAAGGATGGTCGTGAAGGAACCATTTTCAAAGGTGCATTAAAATAAAAAGGTTTATTGTTAGGCCTATTTTTTAATAGGAATCTTTTGCACTAACATTGAAGTGAGTCTTATGGCTTGTTATCTTGTACTAAACCTTCTTTTTCTTTTATGAAACTAGATCCTGATTATCTGGAATTTCTCAAACTGATTGCGAACCCTGTTGAGAATCTTCCTAGTGCTGAGATTCAGTTGGAAAGAAAAGAAGCAGAACTATCTGGTTAGTTATGATAGAAAGAATAACAAATTGTGAACTCTAGTAATAAGCTTTTGTCACCCTAATATGAATGTGATTTCTTTTGTCCCACTTTATCTTTCTTAGGCGCTTCAAAAGAAACCCCTGTTGTTACACCAATAATGCAATTTGTGCATCAGAAACGAGCTGCTGAGAGTGGGACTCAGGTATTTTACCTTGGGAAAGGATGCAATTTTATATCATCATGGTGCCCTTTCCCTTCTTTATATGACCTCAAGGAATTGTGTGCTTTTGGCTTTTAAATTTACCTATTTTGTTATTTTTAGCTCATTGAGCTTGCACTACTTTCACTACTTTGTATGATCCAACTTCATTAAAACATGATGGGCATATCAAGGACAGGAGAAGGTATTTGCATGGTCTCCTTTCCTGTTAAATTTCCACATGAAATATTAGAATCCAATTTGACCTGAAAATGTCCAAGAGATGTCAATCACACATGCTGTTGTCTAACATGTTAAGAAATGCTGTCCTTGGTCACTATTTCCATTAGATCCTTATGTTTAAAATTGTGGCCCAGAAAAAAGAAAAAGAAACACAAAATGAATTAGTAAGTACTGCTTTAGTGCCCACTTCTAAGTTTGTTTTGATGACAGGGGTCAATCACTCTAAGAAAGGTCGGCAGAAAAGCTGCCGCATCTACAAGCAAGTCTGGATCAAGTAGCAAGCGTGGCTCTGAGAAGACAAGGTGTCTAATTCAATAGCTTTCTTATTTATTATATTGCTGATATTTGTACATATGGTACTTTGCTACTTGGATATAAACCTTTCGGTACTTATGAAAAAGAATATCTTTGCATTGTGGACTTTTCTTGATAAAGTCACCCCACTGGTAAATGAGAGTTCTTTTATTTTTACAATAGCATATTGGATCATCTGCTTCAAATTGTGACACTCTGTTCTTAGTTTATGGTTCTTCATTTTTGTCCTTACATGCAACAATTATTAGCTAGCACCTTAAGGAGGCACTTACTGGGGAATAAGATGTGAAAATAGGCTGGTTTCTGAAATTTGAAGCATCTTGAGATTCCTTCAGACAATGCCTGTAGGATACTGTCTTAGGAAGGTTGGGTTACTCTCCAAAATTCAAAGCTTTAGATGTTACTTGGTAGGAAGGATAGAAATAAGTGAAGTTGGAAAAACTTTTAATCTAATGGTTAGGTTTCTTATCTACTTTCCCACCTCATAGCTTAACCATTGGATTAAAAGTTTTTCCATCCTCACCCCTTTCTGTCCTTCCTACTAAGTAATAGCCTTAAGGTGAGAATGTAAAAAAGTAGATATAGAAAGCCCACACCAGTGACACTCATAAGAGAATGAGCTATATCTTAGGCACCTGAAGCTCTACACTATCATCAATGCTTCACATAACAGATGATAGGAACGATTTTTTAAAATGATGATTAGATCCTCTGCACTAACAGACTTTTTTACCCAGAGGAGAGAAGACAGTTTTCAGTGAGGCAACTTCTTTCCCCTGTTTGAAATTTGGCTCAAAAGATTTTTAACACCTATATAAAGCAGATCCCATACCAGCAAAAGACAGTGAATCTGACCGCCCAATCTATTATTCTTATCCACACTGGCTAACCATGAATAGCTTCCTCTTAATCCAGGAGACTGAAGTGTCTGACCTAAATGATTTTTCTTCCTGTCATGCCTCCTTTTAAGAAAGAAGAAATTTGTAAGAGATATCAGGAAAGGTAAAAGTACAATGATATCAATGAAAACTTATAGAGAAGAAGGGCTCTGCTTGCACCAACTAAGCTAAAGGTAGAATGAGGTCCAAATCTTGAACTTTGTGACACTGATTAAAGGGAAAAATTTTCTATAAATATGAAAAATGTCGGGTTTATTATATTTTCTTTTATCTTATTAATTTGAAGTTTCTAGCACTTAGTCTCCAGGATGATTTATTTTACTCATCATGTGGGTTTGTCTGTTGAATAGCCCTCAACACTGCATAATAAAAGCTGAAATATTGATAGTTGTCATTTGTTTTTGGAACCAAAGGCTTGAGAAATTATCTAAAAATGGAAGTCATAACTGTGTATGAGCTTGTGTCACTTTAATGTTCTCAATCTTCTATTGGCCTTCCTTCTCTTCCTAGTGGAACTTAATAAGAAAACTTTCCTCAAATCTCTTCCTTTCTTGCAAAACTGCTAGTATTTTAACGTTATTTTAAGTTGTTTGACTTCATAGTACACTTTTTATAAGCTGCATAACTTATAAAGAAGGTAACTTTAGTAACAAATCATTGGAGCAACTTTTGCATGAAGTTTTGATATTCTAATATTATTTTCGTTGCCTCTCTTTCATATGGAATAATTCTAAATGATCTTTTCCAATAATCATGAGTTACTCTATGTGTGCATGTGCAATTTTTGAAGGTGAATAGTTATTTCTCATTCAAGGAAACTTGTTTGTATTGGCAGTATATTCTAAAAGACAGTGCAAAAGGTGCAAAAAAGTCCAATTTTTTTGTAGCATCCAAGCAAGAGGATCAATCAGAGACTAATGTTGCAAAAGAAATAAGAGAGAACGGAACTGGTGAGGTTTTAAACAGTCTTTGCAGAGGTTTATGAACCACATAGAGCTATATCAGCATATGTCTAGAACTTGTTAGCGTTAGCATCTTGACTGTTTGTTTTTGAATTAGAGCAAGATACAGTTCTAGAGAAAAAAAGTTATTGATTGTTTTTGCAATTAGCAAGCCACATGCTGTTCTATAGTGCATTGCTGGATTAAATTAATATAAGTTTCTCTTGTTCAAAATTATCTGTAAACATGCGTCTCTTATTTTATGTCAGTAGACGTTCATAAAATGGTTAACCAGAAAGCTTAGGATGTTTTTCAGGAATGTGTTTTACTGTGAAGCTAATTATAAATGTTTCAGAAAAGGACTGTTTTACACTTTAACTATCATCAATGTCGATGACCACCTGTTTTTATGCATTTAATTTATCAGTGATCACCCTTCTGTTTCATAGACCTTGTACCTTTTGATTGATCATCAAGAAAAATAAATCATTATGAGTTTGATAATTGATATGAAATACAAGAAATCAAGTATTTATTACTTCAGATGGTCCCGTTAGCAAGGATATAGCTCTTATACCCATAGTACTTGGAAGTTGGAAATTAGAGAGACTATACAGCATTGTACAAAATACAAATGTAGCAGACCCATGGAACATTGATAAATGCTGCTGCAACTTTCTTATAGTGCCACAGAAAAGGAATACACTGAAATTTTCTTTAATGGAGGCCTGCATGATGGAGCTTTAGGTCAGTCTGAGTTCATACTGTATACTACTGTTATTTGTCTCTAAAACTCATCTACTATATTTTAAGTAGCATGGCAAAAATTGCTGAGGTGAAGGGTGAAATAATGGTGACCTTTTATTTTCTTGTAATTATTTATTATACTGGAATTAGTGCAAAAGCGACAAGTCATTCTATCTGCACTCACTTTTGAGCATGTGTGTGTGTGTGTATTCAAATTGAGGGTTTGTTCTCTTTCTGGACTTGGGTTTTGATTATCTTCTTTTATTTGACTGGAAGTTGGTGATATGTTAAATACCTTAGGTTTCTGGTTGTTTTGGTTTTTTAACTTTTCTTTTCATTGTATTTCCCCCATATTTTTTTGCTCAATTAGTTGCATTGCAGTCTGTGGCATTGATGGTCCTGTAACTGGAATCACTTTTTCTGCTGATTCTGGGAAGAAAAAGATCCTGCTCCTAAAACCAAAAGATCGAGAGGCTCCTCATGTAAGATATACCTTTTGCTTGTCCCTTTCCACTCGTTTATGGTGTCCATTGTCAGCTATATTCAAGTTTTATTGTACTGGTTTGAGAATGGTTTTATATGTGAATTGGTTTTTGGTTTTTTCAATTTTTTGGATGCAAATTATGATGATCTCCTTTTAAATATCCTAGGTGCCAGAGGGTGCATCTGAGCAGCAGGGTGCATCATCTCCTGTAGCAAATTCACCTGGTTCAACTGCTCCAAGACAGAGTCAAAGACGTGAGGCTGGTGGAAAGTTAGTAAGGAGCATACTTTTGAGTAACGAAGTGGGCCAAAATCAATCTTCAGCAGCAGTCCAGCCTCAGCAGAAAACTGAAACTACGAGTCTGGACAATGTCAAGAGACATCCCCGGCCTGCTAATATGCGATTGGGTATGAATGGTCATGTCTCTAATGAAATGCCTGCATTGAAATCTGATGGTGATACGAAAAGATATTCATATGATAAGTTCATCAAAAAGGGTCTTTATGGTTCAGGTTCTGGAAGTGAGAAACATGAAAAACGTACAAGAAATAAGGATAGGCCTGATCGTGGGGTGTGGGCCCCTCTTCATCGTTCTGATGTTTCACAAGCTAGTGAGGAGCGCCTGACACCCTCTGTGTTACAATCTGCACAGAACTCTCATAATTCCATTGAAGGTATTAATGCTTCTGCACATGAATGTCTGGTGTTTGCAAGTGTGGATAGACTTGGGATACAATTCTTGCATCAAGTTGTTCTGTTTGAATTTGCAAGGAATGAGGAAGCTAATTTACCTCACTTTCTGCCTATGATCTTCCAGTTATCCAAGGAGAAATGAAAGGCAACATACCTAATGGAAGTAGTGGACCTAATATTCCGTTAGAAAATGGTTAGTCTATCTATAATTGATTGATTCCGTATTGTTGTCGCATGTAGTATTACTAGGATGCCATATTGATAATACCATTCATGCAGGTTAGAATGGACATTTTAGTTGGCGTCCTGCAGCCCATAACATAAAGAGATGATGGGTCTGTCATATCAACTGAGATCAAGTCTTCCAAAAGAGGAGGTGGTAGTAGCTCTGGAGCCCATGAGGTCAGCAAATTTGTGTTGAATCAGATGTAGTAGCTGTCATCTTTTACTCACCTTTGGTTGTTATGTTATTTTCTCTAATTGCAGAAACAAGTTTGGGTTCAGAAGTCATCTTCAGGTTCTTAGAAAATCTATCTAAACTGGTAAGCCCATTGTGTATTTAATTCCAATAAATTAGTTGATGAATTTTCTTACCCCATGTGTCTGTCACTCGGTTTTCTTTCTGGGCTTGTGAAACTAATTCATAGTAGTACTATACTATTCTAGGATTGTTATTGCTTGTTTTATTGATTTACAGGCTTTCGATGTGCAACCTTTTCTACCCAATTTTGGGGTTCTTATCTTCTCCTGTCATGTTGCTCTGACTTGCAACATCTATTTGCCTTATTGGGTTTGCAATGCTCTCCAGAATATGTTCTTGAATAGTCCTTACCTAGTACTAGATTAATTCTCTTATTGGACTGTCAAGAGCCGAGCATTGGCAAGCAATCAGGTGGGACGAATCTGTGTGGTATACATTGGGAAAGAAGTGACTGGGTAAAGAATAATACTGAACCACTGGTGTTGCTGGAAGGGAGATTCTGCTGGACCGTCTCGTGGAACTTTTTTGTTGAATGATGCAGTGCAAGGTGTTTAGAAGTTTACTTGAATCATAATGGTCTTTGCCATGGCTGGAACTTCCATGGCAGGATCTTCCATAGGTGGAAACTCTTTTTTTTCTTGTAATGCATATATTCATCAAGTTTAAAACAATTTTCAAGAAAGTTGGGCTTGCAAAAAGGCCACGGTGTACCATAAAATGAAACAAAGGTCATACTCATATGGATGCAAGGGCTTCTTTTCCCATAGAACATCGTTTAGGTTGGTAAATGGTCTTGAAATCGCTGTAGAAAGATAAATAAATCCCTTACGCGGGCCAGGCCACACAGCAGCCAAACAAAATGAGAAGTTAAAACAAATTCAATAGACAAAGTGCTTACCACTTTCCACAGAATCATGTTAAAGCTTTTGTGTCCATGCCGATGATTAACCAAAAGTTTTGCATTGCTTGAAGAACATGTAACTTACAATAAAAAAAAAAAAAAGAATCGAAGGAAGTGGCCCTAATGTTCTACATACAAGAACAGAGAGGTGGCCCTAGTGTTCTACATACAAGAACAGGCCTATTGCAAGTATCGAAGCAACCTTTGAAACCATTTGTCTTCTGTCAGAAAATAGAAATAAAGATTAAAGAATAGTCCCTTTATCTTCTTTATCTGAAAATTAAGCTAAGGAATCTGAACAATTTCTATTAAAATTTTGTGAAGGGACTGTGGCTTTGAGAAGAACGGGCAGTGGTCACTCCCTTTAATCTTGAAAACTCCTTCTGGTGGGTTTTCTCTTACTAGCTTTTCTTGCACATCTGGTGAAAGAGCACGATCATCTAATGTCTGAATGTAGAACCGCCGCCCGATTCCATACTTCTCAGTGGACAATGACAGTTTCTCCATGATAGGACCTAGTGGGGTGGGTCTCATAGAAACCATGGCCAATGCAACATCCTGAAAGGAACCAAACACCATGTTGAATCATATGATTCTGTAAATAAGCTATAACGAATCAAGTACTTCTCAGGCTTCTCACTTTCATAAATGGTGATCAGTCCACAATTTTCATATGGTATCTAATGGTACACCACATATGCACACATTATTTAGACTCGACATGGTATAACATGTTCAATGCAACATATTATTTCCCATCAAATCCAACACAGTATCTTATCTTGAGTCTTGACCTACATGATAGCAACTTGTCGAAAACAACATTTACTTGTCTAATCTTTTCAATGCTACATTATCCATGCAAACTATTGCATCACGAGTTTTCATAAATCATAACCATAATGCTGACAAAACCAAAGGAGAGAACAAGTTATACATACAACATAGATTGACCCGAATTGGCCATGTAGATGTGTACTTCATAAGAAAAAAGAAAGGATGGAAGACCTATCTTAATTATATAGGGTGTTTTGACACCACATAAAACTAAAGATTCAAAGAATTAATTCTCTATTGCTCTCAATTCCAAACAACTTGGGTTCTTTTATAGACAGTGGTCAATGTTCTGTTGCAATAAAAGAATAACAGAACAACGAATCTTAAACATATAGCCTGAAAAAGAGCTTTGATTGAGAATTATGAAAAAGTGGAGATTGCAATGGGAAAAAATGGATAACTGGAATTTTCAAGGTTTACTAATATGATGCTCTTGACCAGTAACGCTGTAACATACCTTTGTCGGTGATTGATTGAAATATAACCCTTTCATCAGCTGCTTCTCAAACATGAACCCTGTAGGAGGCTTATCTTTGCCATTTCCATGAATCAAAAACTGTGACTCTTGCATGAAACGTTCAGCAGAACCAAGCTGCAATAAAACTTATTTTATTAGCCCATGTAAATCAGATAATTAAGAGCAAAGAAAACTGTAGCAGAACATTCACTACAAAGATTCAGTAATAACAACTACCCAGGTTGGAGTAAATTGGTTCTTTCACATATTTGGTCAATATCAGTCCATGACAGGATCATTGTTCTTTTCAGGTCTAGCTGACAGGAGAAATAAGATTCATACTGGAACTAAAAATTTGCTTTGCACGTCCAAACTTTTTGTTTACTTCTTTGCTAAATAAATTTAAGTGATTCCAGAAAAAACATTTTATAATAACATATACTGGCTGTATATCATACATTGGCAAAATAAATTGGTTGTCAGTGAACAGCAGGAGATATCAACCTATTATCATTTGTACAAGTAGGGCTGTAAATAAGCAGGTATAATTCATTCTGATTTGTGGTGGTTTAATTATTTTGGTCAGAAAAAAATGCATTCTAGATTTGTAATGCAATTACAAAAGGAATCATTTAATGGAACTCATAATCAGATAACTAGGTGTAATTACTTGATGTGCAACAATTAGCAGCTGGGCATTGATAAAATACCTCTTCAGCAAAGACATCAAAAGGTCTCTGACCATTAGACACCATCGTAGCACAAAGGAAAATTGCTTTGGAGATCTTTTCGGGAAAATGCTCCAATGCATAAGAAAGGCATGCACCGCCGCTGCTGTGACCCACCAAAATAACCTGCAAATAATTCATAAAGCAAAATAAATTAAACATGACATATACAAAGGCTTTTTTAGATGAATAAAACACATGGCAATATCAAATGTACCCTCTTACCTTCTCATCTTTGGGAAGGTTCTCTAGATATTGAATCAATGGTTTTGAATATTCTGCCAATGTGGTTACAGTGTTTGTGTCTGTCAGATCAATACCAGAACCTGTAAGATCCAATGCAGTAGGCAGAAGGCCTACTTCCTCCAACTGAGCAATCGTTTTATACCAACACCAGGCTCCAAAGCCTTCTCCATGTATCAGAATAATTTTTTTAAACTTGATATTTTCAAGAGATTCCAATACCTGGAGAGAACATAAAAATAGTATTAGACATGAACTTTAAAGAAAGGGGTTATAATTTGTAAAAATGTTATGCTAATGCAATTATGTCTAGGTCAATGTTTTTACACCTCAGGATTTCCATTTTCCAGTTACTTCAACACAAACCAAGGTTTAGCTTTCATAAAGTCTATCACTGATCTTTGAACCAACCTTCATGGACCATTATCCATATCCTTATCATCACAGCACAATAGAAAAAAAAAAATGCTTTTGAAATTGCTTTTCATAAAACAACTGAAAGAAAAGTGATTCCTTTGGGTTTGTAAAGCTTTACACAGATCATAACAAAAAGTGCATATCATAAGATCCATCTTTTGATAAAAAATAAAATAAAGCAGAAAAGATCTCTTTATCTTCTCAACTAAATTGTGTCAGAGACTTAAAAACTAAATTGAAGATATAAAATTGTAAATTCCTAAAAGCACAGTGAATCAGTTACATATTTTGCCAAGTTATCCTTTCAAATATTCCAATGAAAAGTAAAAGAAACAGTTCTTGTCCCTTATTTTACCAGTTTGACCCTTGACTAATGCTGTTTTCCAATTAACAACTTTTTCTAACTTTTGCTCCTGTTTTACAATCAATCATCAAAACCCCACTTTTTAATCATAGATCCAATCAACTAAAACAGTAATTAACACTATGAGTACACATGAATACACAGTTAGGAAAGCAGAGCTAAGAAATTTAATATTTGTATTTAATAAAAAAAAAAACCCACCTTTTTTTCATTATTAGCTAATGGATCAGAGTGTCTTCTAGAGCTGGTAGAGCCAATTCTTCTAGACATGGATCCATCGAATCTCTGAGATAATTGGTGTTGATGAAGAGCCATAGACAAAGCTTGCCTATGCAAAAGCTCTTCTTCTGCAAGCATTTTCCTCTGAGACCTACCCATTCTCTTGCTTCTTGATCCATTATCTTTGGTATCTTTCTTTGTCCTGCAAATGAAGCTATTACCCATTATTCAAAAGAACTCAAAAAATTTGGTTTTTTTAACACAACCCAGGAAGCTTCAGGAGCATTTCTGACAGAACAGAGGCAGAAAGTCGAGATTTTCCAGGAAAGAGAAGTTTTTTAAAGAATTGAAAGTGGCATAGAGGTAGAAATATATTTTTTCCCTTTCAGCTTTGGGATTTTTTTTATACTATTATATATATATATATATATATATATGGATTAGTTGAAAAATGAGAACAGAAGAGAGAGAAAAAAAAAAAGTGGGTAAAGAGAAGGATTTGGGAGACGTTGGTTATAAATGCAAAAAACAAAGAAAACAACATTAAACAAATGTGTGAAACAGCTCCTTAAGTAAGAGCCAACTGAATTTAAGTGCTATTTATTGCTTTTGGATACTCTTTTCTTTCAACGGTAGGAGACTTTCAATACTTTGCTCTTTCTCTCTCTCTCCCTGTAGAAAGTTAGACTTTTCTTTTTTTGGGGCCTTAGTTTTACTGCTATCAGCTGTTAATAACATGAACATGTGAAGAGTTTGGTGCCTGAAAGTGGGAGAGCCACGTCTTTCAGATACAGTTTGTTTTGGTTTAATTAGCTACTTAAAAAATGTGGTTTAATGCTAAGCATCTAACTCTTGTTTCAGACCATGCTATGGAGAATATTTGCTGTACTTATTGGTATTAATTATCAAAACAATGAACCTTTCAACCTCCTTGAAATAATTCATTGTACCCAAAAAAACTTACTATACTTATTACAGAGTATAGATTTCAAGTTTGTCATTGAAAATCTCTATTTTTCTCATTTAAGAAACAAAACAAAAGACCTCAGCATTTTACTTGATAAGTAGATTCATGTGGCAAAATGGATTTAAAAGTACAAATGTAGAGAAAAAATCAATGATATTGAAGAGGGTGATTTAGCATTTTCAGCCCCAAAAGTAGCTGTTATGTTCCCTTTCTATCCCATGTAGGAGATTGTATCGTGTGACTTTAAGGGCGAGAGGCATCACCATCACTGCTTTTGTTTATTTTCTATCACTCAACCAATGGAGGCCACACCATGATGAGGATGCCTATCTGTTTCCATCCTTTTCAACAAAAGAAAGGTTGATTTTGAGTCCTAACTATATATATTAATTGATATTTAATTTCATGCATCATGCTTGTTTCTTTTTTAATATTCTATTTAGCTTGTATGATTAAATTTTTTTTCTGATATATTGATCCCTTGCTTGAACAACATTTCAAGTGTTTATTATTCATGGGATTTGTTGGATTTTTCTGATCTGCTCATGACATTGTGTTGTAAGTTGGAATAATCCTTTTTTTTTATTGGCTTTTACCTTAGTTTAACCTTATTTTGTCATCATTCCATTTTTCAACAACACCCTTGATGCAAGCAATTCTATCTCTGTGGCAGTATTCTTTAATTAGATTGCTTGTATTTTCCCTCTCCTAGCCACCAAGCTAGGTGCCTTTTTTTGACATTTTTTCGAAATATGAAAAGGAAAATTTGAATGAAACTTTATTATACATGGAGAAAATCAGGGCTTTATTAGCAACATTACAAACAAATTGATCAGCCTAAAATCTGTAAATTATCAGCAACTAGCAGTTTTTGCATGGATCCCCTAAAAGCATTTTCTTGAAAATATTTTATTTCTTTTTCTCATTTTGACCTATGGAAACAAGAGCTTTTACATGCAACTCAGACAGATATAAGATTAAGGTTTCATTTAGTGGTAAAAGGAGGTTCATCATTCATCCACCAACCAAATTAAATAGTGAAATAAACAGATACTATCATATTTCATTGCATTTGGGGAGGGCACCATACTAATTTTGGTCCAGGTTTTGTAACCGGATGAAGATAATTTACTAGGCTAATTTCGTCCATTTCAGGACCACACCTCAATATTCAATTAGTTTGTTAGAGCCTAAAGCCTAATTTAATGATGTTTTGACTAAATTAATGTTGATTTTTGGTGCTTGACCAAACTATTGAGTAATAACTTTCGCCTGGCTTCTCTAAGCTAATAGATTAAGTACTTAATTATTTTGTATAAGACAAAGAATCCCAAATGAGACAAAAGACAGTTCATCATTCATCCCGTAAAACTGTGATAATGCTCCGTTCAATCAATCATTTTCTTTTTTTTTTCCTCTAGCTTCGGTTTGATTACAATTGTTGAGGGAATAAGATCAGATTTTTCGGTGTTGGATTATTATTAGTTTGATCATGTAATATTCTCCTTCGACAGTTTCTTCTGTCTTTATTAACCAATTACTAGATCGACATGACAAACACTTTACCGTTACCAAGTGTTATTTTTTTCCAAGAATTAAATTTTAATCATTGAATATGAGTTCATTTGATGACACGATAAAATTCATTTAGGGTGATGAGAAAATTTTTTTATCATATTGTAATATTATTTTATATTTAAATATCAAAAAATTTAATCATAAAATGTAATTATAATAAGACGAAATTTCTTCCCGTCGTATTGACAAATGAACTCTAAAGGTTAAAGTTGTCAAAAGAAGCCCGTTTGGGTAGCAACGGCAGCTCCTCTCTGCCAGCAGGGTCACAAACTTTGGTAGACAAGTCTAAAACGTTGAAAAACTGGTATGCAAAATTGGGCCGGCTCATTCATCAGCCGAATTAAATTTTATTTTATTTTATTCATAAAACAGTCAATTGTTTTTTATTAGGCAATTGATTATTTTTTTTTAAAGTGAGGCGCATAATAAAAAATGAGTTTAAAATATTTCATTATCCTCTAAATATTTGATTGAGTTCTTCTGAAAATCTAAATAGATTATATATAAAAAAAAATTTATAATGTTTTTACTTGATATTATTGCAAATAAAATTTTTAATAGGGTTTCACTTTTTACACTTTTAGGAGGAAAATTTACTGTCCTCTTTTAATCCTCACTTCAATCTCATTGTGAAAATCAATTTAGATATATTTTATTTTGCGTAAAAACAATCATTGAATAGCAATTTATAATTATTTATTAATATTTATTATTGGTTAATTTTTTATTAACACTTATTAGAAAATAAAATGTGTCTATCTATATAAGGTTTACAAAGTTGCAATTCTGTTCTCATTTTGAAGATCAAAATAGAACCAATATGTGTTGGATTGGGTCAGTAATAGAAAGTTATTCCTTGTTATATTCAGTTTTATACGAAGAGAAGGAAAAGCTTAAGAGGGTATATCATAACTTATCATAAATTACTGCATTCCTCGTCACTCTGCATTTTATTGTGCGGCTGCTGCTGATTCAACAACATGAATGGACTTATGAAAGAATAGCACCTTCAGAGGAGCCTTAACTGACACCCTTTTTTGTCTACAAAAATTCTTTGAAAGTGCAAAAATTTCATACTATGAAGTTCTTGATGACATAAGATTCACTATTATGGTTAACTGGTAACTACACTGTGAAGATCACTTGAAGAATGAACCAAAAGCATTGTGTAAGACATTTCCAGGTTTATAATAGTGTTGGGTTTAGTGGTTTAGAGATGACACTGACACTCCATTGAGATCCATTGTCAGCATATTTTGGTTAAATTATAGCAAGGATAGGACCATACGGTAAGCACAATAAAACAGACGAAAAAATTGTATTTAAAAAAATGGCTGCACATTACTAAGCTCATCCATTTCCACAAAGCAACGGTTGACAACAACAAACTTTACAACAATAACACAAAAAAAATGAAGCTAAAAAAGAAAGAAGAGCAAAAAATTGTTATTCCTTCTTTGATTACAATGGCCAAACGGATTAAAGGAGCAGAACAATTGAACTGGCTTAAAAGTTAGAAGTCACTGGATAACGGTGCATGTTCAGAGTGCACGAACACATTTCCATAGATAAGTCCAGCCAGGCCACCACCAATGAGAGGCGCAACCCAGTAGATCCAGTTGTCGTGGAAGTCACCGCTAGAGACAGTGGGCGGGCTGCGTTCATGGATCCGCCAGAATGGGCCAGCAGCGAAGATGTTGGCTCCAACAACGACACCAATGGCAATGGGGGTAATGGTGCCAAGTGAACCCTTCTTGGGGTCAGCTGCGCTTGCATAGACGGTGTAAACCAAAGCAAATGTGATGATAATCTCCATCACTACTTGAACAGCTCCAACTCCAGCTGCAACACTGTGGGTGGGAATTGTCTGCAAAAGAAGTAGCCAAAAATTAAGTGTGCAGTTTCCTTGACAATGAGTCAAACAGCAATTTTGATGACCGAACATATTCATTTTCTAATTAAAAAAAGGCAAATAATGACATTAGAAGAACATTTTGAGGAAGTCAATGAAACTAAATTTATATAAGAAATAGTTTTTGTGCTTGTATATGCATGCAATTTGAGCTTACCAAGCCTCCAGTGACAGCCTTGAGCAGGAAGCAAGCAACAATGGATCCAAGAAGTTGGGCAATCCAGTAAAAGATGCCAGTGAGGATGGTGATCTGACCACCAAGAGCCAACCCAAATGTGACTGCAGGGTTGACATGCCCACCGGAGATGTTGGCACCGATGGCAACAGCAACAAAGAGAACAAAACCATGGCAAATAGCAATTGCTACTAGCCCATCAGGATCAAGGGCTGCATCTGTTTTCAAGTTATCTGAGTAAGAAAGAAACAAAAAAAGGTTATATAAAGGAAAAATTAAGTTTTTGAATCCTTTGTACATATATAAAATATCTCATTTATATTTTTTAATTATATTAGATTCTTTACTTACATATGAACCATATCTCATTAGAGGGTCATCTATGAAGAAAATAATGATAAAGAAATTGGGTGGTGATCAGGTCTTGGTCATGACTTTATTTGGGCCACACAGTGCACCGAACATGTTCATGGAATGAGGCCGAGGGGCAGTGGACAAGATTAAATTGGTGTTATATTAAGAGTAGATAGCATAGTGCTGTATTTAAAGATTTGATGATTTTCATTTGAATTATGATGATATAGGGAGGAATCTTAAGCAACTTTTTGGCTCGTTTGTTGGTTTCCTAAGAAAAAATTTTTCAAAAGGAGATAGGGGTTTAATTTAATAGTATCTGCATTGAGCTTTGATTATCCCATTGAAGGTGGGATTTGAAGATCCATTGTTCTGATTCTTTTTGTCCTCTAAGGCAGGGGACCAGGAAAAAGAGGCTATAAAGACTTTTTATTTATGAAATGTTAATAATGCTGAACTGAAAACTTACAGTGGCTAAATTCTACCTCTATAATCCCATCCTTGGCTTATTTCAGTACTTTGATGGTGGAGAATGACTGGTAATGCTGCATTTAGCAGTACTAACTCCTCAGCTGTGAGACCAGAAAATAAAGAATGAGACAACTTAATTCCCACATTTTGATTTTAGCTCAACTGCGAAATATCCTTCGTACGATTTTTCATCTTAAGATGTTTAGTCGAAGTAATGATTCTGCATTTACATAGTATAAACAAGAAATCAAGAGCAAAAAAAGAATCTCTAATAATAAGGGAATCAGTCACCAAAAGGGAAAATGAATCTTAAGACTTTAAGAATCTATCCAAAGAACCAGTCCCCTTTTTCTTCTTTTGATGGCCTGCAATATTTTCTATACCAAACTTGACAAAGAAGTAATCAGACAGACTCAATTGAAGGCAAGAATACACCAAGTAACCTCGTAGAAACCTTGTACAATAAACAAGGCACCCCATAAAAACCCTTTTCTGCTATATCTTACAACTTACACAATCCTTTAGCATCACTAGCTATGGTGTGTCTAGGTGTTCTGTTTGGATGCAAACGCTCCCGTTCAGTGAAGGACTATGTTCTGTCAGCTTTGGTGATCATATCCATTCTTTTAGGCTTGCGAATACTTTGTTACATCTTTCATCGCTTGTTGAAGAGGGAGGATCCTGATGAAAATTTGAATGTTGGTTTGGAAATGCAGCCTCAATATGATAGTCATGCACCATAGGTTTTGCCACAGTAGAGGATTGCCAGAAACCAGGTTTGTGCATATCAGCTGGAGAAGGTCATAAGCTGCTCAGCTCAACACATCCAATCTTAACTGCTAACATTCCACCATCATTTTATTGCTACTAAAACATATCTTGCTGTTGTATTGTGCAATATATTTTATACACTTCTCATTAAATTATCAATTTGTTGTAGTTGTTCAATTTATTAGTAAAATGCTAGATTCTTAATTTCATTGATCAATACATTTTTCATCAAATTATCAATTTATCATAATCATCCAACTTGTTAGTAAAATGTCAGATTCCTAATTTCATTGATCAATATTTAACTTGTTAGTATATATATGTCATCTATGAGTTTTTTAGTATTGTTCAAAACAACGGGTTTTATATGAATTTTTGGTTTATAATTATACCTTTTAAACAGTTGTATGAATATCTGATATTTATAAATTAATTAAATCTTCTGTCATTATCCCTAACTAAATTGAATATAAAATGATTTTAGTTAGGTGTGTATCATTGAATAATGAGATAATTATTGTAGGAACATGATAAAAGAAAATAATTTGCATTTATGCAAATTATAATTACCAACATTTCCTATTTATTTAAGGTTTTTTTTTTTTTTCAAGTCATTTGTGAATTATGATGAATTGTTAAATAAATTGGTCAACGTTTCTTCTTCTCTCACCCCTTAGCAGTTTGGGTTTGGATGGCCGGTTAGTCAGCATTTGAATGTGGACTTTTGCAAGATTTTGGGCTAGATATGTAGACCAGTATCAAAGCCCATTTATACCCAAAAAAAAAAAAAAAGACGACAACAACAACAACAAAACCAAAAACAGTAAAATTTTTTCCTTCCCTTAAAAGTTGACAATGAGGTGCTGTCAATTTTAACCAGGATTTATATTGAACTTAAAAGATGTCTACTAAGAAATCCCTTTAATAAAAATTAAATAATTTTTTAAATTTTTATCTATTTATTATAATTAATTAAATTATCAAATATTTATTTTTAATTAATTAAACTCTTAAATATTTTTTTATTTAATTAAATTTTTAAATATTTATTTTTAATTAATTAAAGTCTTAACTGCATGAAAATAAACATTGATAATTAATTAATTTTTATTTAATAAAAACTTAATTGATAAAAATAAATATTAGAATGTTTAATTAATTATAATAAAATGATACTAATCATTTAATTTTACTTTAAAATATTTTTATAAGTATGTCATTTGATTTTTTCTAATTTAATTAATTAATACCGATCCCATAGGTGGTAACTTTTTTTTTTTTTGGTAAGAAACAGGAATGAATACTAAAACATTACCCTCGTACTGTAATAAAAAAAAAACTAGCTAATAGAGATGGTAAAAAAAATTATTAAATGTTTAAATAGAAAAATAAAATAAAGAAGGCAGCCCCACCACGTTACCATATTTTCACTTCCCAAAAATGAATACTCGTCACTCCCACTCTCACTCCTCGCCCAAAACCCCAACAAAAATGCTCGACCGAGCCCTCTCCTCACGCCGTTCTCAGCCCCACTCCGATATCGACCTCCCCACCACCGTTGTCGCTTCTTCCGTCTCTTCCGATCCTGAATCTGCCAACTTAATCGCGGATGAGTCCAAAAACAAGAAACCACACCTCTATCTCCTGGCCACCAATTACATTTCTCGCTTGGGACTCGTCAAATCGCCGTGTCTCTGCCTCTCTCTCTGCCTTATCTTGAGCGTGTTCATGCTTTTCTCTTTGATGCTCAACTCTCGCTCCTTCATTTGCTTTTCCTCTTATGACCCGATCTCTCGGGCCAGTTTCTTCGGTCTCGATGGGCTCGACTCTGATTTCGGATCCCTCGGCGTTCCTTGGTGTAGGTTTTGCTTTAAGATTTTTTTTTGGGGGGTTTCGATTGGATCTACAACTTTCTTTCTTTCATTCTATGCTTCCTTCGTTTGCATTAGCTGAATGCGGCGGCGTTTCATTGCTCCATTATGATAAATTTACTCTCTTTGCTTCATTTTCTCATTGTCGAGCTGTGCTATAGCTGTGTTCTCTTGATTATTGGAATCTTAATATATGATTAGATCAAACGGTTTATTTGTTTCTCAAAATTATTAAAATGCTGGAAATTTATTCTCGGAGTGCAATTAGAGGACTGAATATTTGGATTCTATTACTAAATTTTTTATTTTTAATGCATTTATTAGAGCTTAAATATAAATGTTGGGTCTTTTCCTAAAAGCTTAAGCTTGTGGAATAATTAGTCCTTCAACTATCTATTTAATAGTAGTATTTGATATCCTTAGTGAAACATTCACTGGACTGTGGATAAAGAAAGTGAGTTGATAAGATTAAATTTTATTTAGGAACTAATTTTGGAACAGATTCCTCTTGACAGAATTTGGCTAAAACTTTAAAGTTGCATTAAAAGCCTATCAACAATCTATTTGAATTTGCCTACTTGGGTCTTAAATCTGTATTTAGTTCGTAGGAAACAGTGAATCCATGTTCAACCCTCTTTACTGATTCTTGTTCTGTTTCGATTGTCAAGAGCCAATCTTTGATTTCCTCCTGGTCATTTGTTATGCGGTATGAGTTTTTATTGTTCATGTCAAAAGTGAGGCCATTTGCATTTTTATTAATATTTTAACTCTTCAATTTACCAACGACTTTGTGCTCCTTTGCTTGTTTTTGTGGTAGTTTATATGGACTTATTTGGTGAATGTTATACTCTACTGGATTTTTTTAATTTAATTATTTTATTTTTCATACTAAAGACCTGATTTCATGTTAAATTCTTAAATCTTTACTTTCATTATTTGCGCCCATTTAATTCATATCCTTTTTCAAAAGGCAGATCGAAACATGGAAAAACAGTTGAATGGACATCTAAAGATTTAATCAATGGCTTGGAGGAGTTTGTACCAGTATATGAAACACGTCCAATCAAAAACAACATGTATGGGATGGGTTTTGACCACAGCTTTGGGCTTTGGTTCATTGCTCGGTGGCTAAAACCTGATATAATGATTGAGAGTGGTGCGTTCAAGGGGCATTCCACTTGGGTTCTGCGGCAAGCAATGCCTGACACACCAATTATCTCGCTCACACCTCGACATCCCGAGAAGTACTTGAAAAAGGGGCCTGCTTATGTTGATCTAAAATGCACATACTTTGCTGGAAAAGATTTTGTGGATTTTGGAAGTGTTGATTGGGAGAGGGAGCTTAAGAAACGTGGAATTTCTGATTTCAGCCAGGTTCTTGTCTTCTTTGATGACCATCAGAATGAATTGAAAAGGTACTTATTGCATCTAAGTATTGGTGATCTTCTCTGTTTCAAGTTTTAGATGTTGCTTGAGCTCATTCAAGGCCACTTAAATGTCTTGGTTTTTACCTTTTATAGTTTTGAGTTTATTATGCTTATGTTGTTGGGATGTGCTTTCATGAACAGGCTAAAGCAGGCATTAAAAGCTGGCTTTCACCATCTTGTTTTTGAAGACAATTATGATACTGGAACCGGAGATCATTATTCATTGAGGCAGATATGTGACCAGTTCTACATAAGAGGTTGATGCTCCCACACCCTTTTTTTACTTTTATTCCTTTCTCAGTTTCTGAGCATCCTCTCATTTGTTATGCTTTCGCCCATATCCACTTCTATCTTCTGTCAATTTGTTTGTAATTTATACCCTTGTCCCTTGACTATTGTTCATGTGCTCCCTCATTTTGCCATATCTTCGGTAAGATCAACAGTAGGTATCTGAATAGGAATCTAAAAGTTGGAATACCTATTTTCTCCATAAATCATATTAATCTTTAGAATGTGTCATCATTGTCTTTGTTTTGTGACTATATAATCAAATTGGCTTTCTCTGATTTTGGCCTTTGTTATTATCATTTCTCCTCGTAAATGTGCAACCATTTTCTCATTGAATTCCTTTTTGTTTATCTTCTCATTGTTTAAACCGTTGCTTAACCAATAATTGCGTTGTGAGCTCTAGCTATGCAGTGAATATCTTGGGTTACCAGACAAAACTAGAAGGGTTCAATGCTGTAGCTACGTCATTATGTTTTGATGGTTCTTTTTATTTGCTTTTCCTGTAAATTTATAACTATTGAATCCACAACTATAAAAACAAACAGAAATGAGATTAGTTTGACTACAATAAGGCTAAAATGAAGTTGTCCTTGCAGAAGTTCATAAGTAAAAGAGACTGGAGTCTTTCAAGTTCTGATTATACTTTTAAGAGTAGCAAGACCTAATTGCATTTCTAGTATGACTTTATTTCTATTGTTATCTTGTATATTATTTTCTTTTGTTCTTGCTTGCAGTTATTTATGAATATGATCTCTGGCTAGCACCAGAAACGATTTCTGGTTGTATCTTAATGAATTCTTTCATTTTATCAGGCTTGGTATTTCTCTTTAAAATTATATTTTGAGTTCCTTATGTAGTTCACTAAGTGCAATGACAGTTTATGCATAAATTTTAATATATAATATGGTACGTTCAAATCTTTGTTTTCTGAGGTTGTTTTCGTTTCTTACCTAGCTGTGAGCTTTGTTCATTCAGGAGGTGGCCATAGCTGCTTTAGGGACAGTGACGAAGCTAGGATTAGATCGAAAAGAAAGAAATTCTGGGAGAAGGCTGTGGATATAGATGAACTTTGCGAGCCACATGAGGCATGGTGGGGTGTTAGAGGGGAGATGCGGGATAACTTTAACCACAATAAGACCCCAATCTCTTATGGCCAACATTTTCAAAATAGCAGGTTTGTTGAATCGATTCTTGATGTATATTGGGAGCTGCCACCAGTTGCTGGTCCATCCCTTACCCACCAAACTCGCTATGATCCTGCTCGTGCACCTACTCCTATTGTCGAAGATGGCCGGTATGGCTTGTTTCAGCGGCTTGGTTTAGGCAGGCTTGAGAGATCTGTATTTAATGGATATACGCAGATGGTGTATCTGCAAATTTCCAAACCAGAATCTTGAAATTGTTCAGGATCAGGTCTGTTTTAACTTGAATAGATGTGTAAATATTTTTCTTTTCATCATAGCAAGTTCAGATTATTTTGTTGTTAATTCAAAAGAATGTTACGTCCAATATTTAGGATCATACGCTATGATGTCTTTCCAATGTAATTTACTGATGTGACGATCAATATTTTCCACTTCTGATCCAAAAAGCACAATCTGGTGATCTTCAGTTGGAAGAAAGGGGTTGAAGGGAATATTTCACTGATAATCCACTACTGACTTTGAAGAGTTTCTTTAACTCATCTTGTTTCAATATGTACAGTTGTATGTTTGGTTGAATAACTTGATTCCACCAACTGAATTCATTTTGTTGTGGTGAATCAAACTGCAGATCCTATCGGTCCATTGGAAAATGGCTGTCCTATATATAGTTTTAGTTTATGCTTGGGTTAACGATGAGTAGGTTTAAACTTGATACATAAATTTTAAATATTTTTAATGTAGTACCTGAATTTGAATTTTTTAATTAATGTGATATTTGAAGAGTTGATTGCTTATCATGTGTTATTATTTGAAATTAATCACGTTAGATATAAATATCATTTTAATATTTTATTTCACATATTTATATTTTAAGAATTATATTAAAAATTTTTAAAATTTAAGTATGACATTAAATATATTATTTATTAATTTAAAAATTATATTAAAAAATTTTAAAATTTAGATATCATATTAAATATTTTAGTATAGAATAAATATTATTTATGATATTAACGATTTATACTTTGTATGGCTTCATTTGGAAAAATTTTTGGAAAAATTGCAACGAAAGCCTCACTCCAATAAATTTTTAGTCCATTGACAACGGAAAGGATCAAGCTTTTCGCAAATTTTTCATTACTGAAAATTTGAGAAAAAGCTACTTCGAAGATGGCGGCATGTTGCAAGCTCACTTACAAATTTCTTTTCAAAAAGAATTACTGAAAGCAGGAATTGAACTTTAAAGTCTTACTATTAAAGTATTGCATAATTACCAATTCAATCAATCCTATTTGCTTTCTTTTTTTTTCTTTTTTTATTTGGAAGAGAAGGATTGAAAGCTATTTTTGAGCAGATCAAATATCAATGGCTGATACAAATGATAGAATCAAGTTTTAAACCATACTTAATTATTCAGAGTTGTACCTGAGAGAGCATCCTTGCATCAGATATTGCTTCCATCCTTGGAACAGCACTTAATTATTCAGAGTTGTTCTGTCCAATTAGACATCACCCACACTGAGGTGTTTTTGGATGAAAAAATTAGCTGATTCATGTTATAACCCTAATCATTAAGGCATGGTGCCAAACTAGCGTGACACCACCATTGCCTGACTAATCAACAAAAGAAAATATCTCAAATAGAGCACACTTTTTTCTTTGTTCTAATCAGAATGCAAAGTTTGAAATGACGGGATTTTGTGGCTTTTTCTCAAACAAGAACAGTAACTAATCTAATTCCAACATTTGTCACCCCAAGTTTTAGATTCATTGCAACTGATCAATGGCCTTTTCTTTGCTTTTCTATTCTTTGTCTGATTGATTAGAAAGTCTTTTCAAGGCAGGCGTGCTCTTCTTTTTGAGATGGAGAAAGAACAAAAATGAAAGAGATTGGCAATCCACAATCAATCCATTTACACAGTACTGAAAATACATAAATGGAGAAAAAGATAGAAGAAGAGAAAGGTAAACCAGGCAACCTTAAATAATTGGACATGTCTCCAATGCCATCATTTGTCTAATAGAAGGCCTTTTTTTTTTCCTTCTTAAATTCCACTAAATACATCAAACTTATGATATCTGAAAACATATATATAATTCTTGAGTAAAGTGCTCAACTGTTCATCCTTAAAATTCTGAAGTTTTTGAAGACTTGTTTTCTTTTGGTCTTCAAGATGCTTTTGCATTAATTCTGGTTCTTGCATTTCTCCATGGCCCTTGGAGCTGAAAGCAGTCAAGTGGAGTCACTTAATATCAGGATGACTTGAATAAAATACTCAATGGAGATAATATGTGTTAACAAAATTTAAAGCAAGCTAATTCATTGTTGCCTTTAATTAAGGAAAAGAATGACAAACTATGGTGGATTTTATTTAATCAGCAAAGGATACCTAGTCCAATTGCCTCTGAACCTTTCATTATCCTTAGTCTCCTGCACGAATCGGTGAACATCCTGAATAACAAAGATAACAAGATAAGGAAACCTAGGAATCTATCATCATAAGGAATAAATATGGTAAGACAATAACTAATTGCAAGAAATCAGATTGCAGGAATATAGATCAATTAGGCTGTATTTTAAGCAAAGTGATACATTGCAATGTCAAGTTGCACAATGAACATTGATATTAACTCTTAACAATCACAAATAGGACATGACTGTAGATAATTTAAGTCTATCTCTTTTATCATTTGCAAATTACAGAATTTAGCTTAAAAACCACTTCTCACCAAGAATTATCCAAGAAATTGAAAAGAATACATCAAGAGCTATTTAGGAGGAAAAGCGCTTACTCCCATGGAACATCGCCTACAAGCATCCAATCTCCATCCTTGTCTTCATATGTCAACACGTACTCAGATCCGTGGAGAAGATCCATCAAACGACTCTCACTGAGACCATCTCGCACAGGAAGCCCATTGGAACTGCACTGACCTGAATCACAGCCATCCATACATCAACACACACTCGACTATAAAATCACAGTATGCTAACTGTTTTAAAACAAAATTAGCTCATGCTCTGGTAATGAGAGTATTTGATGGTAGAAGCTCTTAAAAACTCATTAAGCTTATGTAGCAGTGAGTTTTTTTTTTTTTGGTTCTGCAGGTTTAATTCTTGATTAAAACAACTCCACCACACAAAGTACAAATCCTTACAAATCCACAAGTTTTTTTTTTTCTTTACTCTATGCCTATTTTGCTCATGAATCTTTTTTGAAAAATACTATCAGACTTTATTATGCAATATATTTTGTTACAGAATTGAGAAAACAAAATATTAAAAAAATATTGTGAAGACTTAATAATTTATATTTGTATAAAATTATTATCATGACAGTTAAATTATATGTCTAATAACTCAATCAAAAGAAAGAGAAGAATAAGAAGGGAGTTTTTATTCTAAAAAAAGTGTTAGAAGCCTCATTTAAGGTTATGTATAGATCAATTATATCTTAGAAAAAGCATAAAAAATCAGCTCATTGAGAATTGACCAAAGCACAAAAAAAACCCAAAATTTCAAAAAAAAAAAAAAAAAAGGTAATCTTAAAACGTTTTAAAGATGCATTCCCTTTCTAAATCATCCTAATGGTGGGCATAGTGCATGCTAAAGTAGAGCTATGCATGTCTGAGGGATTGTATACCAATTGTAAAACAGCTGAACATCTTCTCCAAAGCTGATGAGAGTTCCATATAGTTTTTGTAGGTCTTGAGGTCAACCTTCCTCAGGTATGGTGCTCCATCCATGCTCACCTTTACATAGAGGCAACCGGCAGCTTCATCACTGTTCTTTGCCAAATTAGAAGCCATGGTATTCTTCCGGAATGATCGAATTGGTGGCCATCCAACGACCTGTGCCCTGTTACAGAAATCTTGCTCAATAATTGACGTAAATTTACAAACAAACTAGCTGTTATACAAGTAAAAATCCACCTTTTTAAATACTTGCTTAATAATTGATGTGAAATTACAAACAAAGTAGCTGATATACAGAAATCCTGCTCAATAATTGAAAACGTGTTTAAGCTACAATGGCTAAAATCCACCTTTAAGAAAAAGAAGCTAGCCGCACCACAGTCAAAGCAGATGCCGAAACGAAAATCAAAACCATCTCATCAAAACTTGATAAAAAGTATGTTATCTACAATTAATTAATTTGTCATTTATTTTCTTAAAACTTCAAAATAGTAAAATTTTCCCCTTTTGCCCATATTTCCTCAACAATTGAAAAGAAAAAAAAAAGAAACAGTTTTGAAGATAAACTTACTTTGCAGCAGGAGCACTAGCATGCTCATTTGCGGCCGGAACAAGACTCTTATCTTGAACCGGCTTTGGAGACAGGGGAACACCACCAACCTCTTTCATGGCAGCTACAGATACCCTTGCTTGCTGGGAATTGGTTTTGCTCTCCAAACCACCTCTAGGAGAGGCCAAGACAGCACCTGTAGCCAACTCAACATCAGAATTACCATTCATAGGGAAAACCCATTTCCCATTAGAGCCATCAATGGCATCTGAGAAACCCCTTTTAAATCCAGACACCAAGTTCTTCAGAGGGCTCACAGCAAAACCATTAATTTTATCATTACTCTCCAAATCTTTGCCAAAAAGAGAGACTTTTCTCTCAGGAGACTGAGAACCTGGTAAACCAAGCCTCAGCTCAGTTTCTTTGAGATTGAGAGAAGTGTTGTTGGTAGTTTTGCTAGTTTTGTCTTCAATGGAGTGAGTTGAAGAGGAAGAAGAAGAAGATATCTTCTCCGAGCTTCTTTCCATTGAAGAAGTCTCTGTTAAGCCAATGTAATCATGTTCTAAAGGTGTAGACATCAAGGTTTCAAACTTTTAAGAACTTCTTTTCTTAAATATATACAACAAGCAAAATGAAGAAGAAAAGGAGGAGGCTAAGGTGAGAAGAGAGAGAGAGAGAGGCAGTCTGGTTTTTGATGAAGCAGAAAAAGAAGCTTCTTTAGCCTTGCTGTAGCTGCCTTGTTAGTATTATTATAAAAATTTTCCCTTTTTTTTGTCTAAATTCTACTTTTATATCTGGTGTTGCAAAAAAAAAAAAAAAACCTTCCTTACCATGGCGAAAGTTAAGATGACTTTGATTTGTATGAACAATTGAAAAAAGGAAATATATATTTTAAATTTGTGTACGTGTGATTGCAATTTTACCTCCAAATAGCTCAAAATTTACAAATTCTAAATCTAAATTTAATTTGAATTTAAGCAATATATTTGCTTATGTAATAGAGAATACCACAGCTTGAGTTTAACATTTTTATTTATAATTTATTTTTTTGACCTTTTTTTTAATTATTGTAATATGATGTAAGTTACCATGAATCTAAAGGCAAAAAAATTCATGGCATTAGTTTATTGTTATTATTATTATTATCATTATTAAGTTTTTTTTATCAAATTACTAAAATAATGATGTTTTCATTAAATGAATAAATACATTTTAGTTTATTGTTCATATTAATTAATTTTTAACAACTAAAATATGAGATTCAACTAAAAAAGGTTAATGAGACCTTAAATCAGCGTCAGTTAAATAATTATTTAAATATAATATTAATTAATAAATTTATTATTTAAATATAAAATTAATTTTTTTAATTTAAATATCATATTAAATATTTTATTATAATTTAAAAATAATTTATAATATTAACTTTGTAAAAATTTACAAGACATTGTCATAAAAAAGAACAAAAATTTTCTCCTTTAGATGTCAAAGTGTGAGTCGTGATCGTGAACCCCAAATCGTTTGTTAACCAAATAAAAACAAATCTTTATTCATTATAGTAAATGAAATGTGTTTTTATTTTGGGTTTATATTGTTTTTAGACCTGTTCCACCGACAAATCACTTGGTTGTCCCGGCAACCTTTTCCACACTGCTCCAATCACTATACTTTTTTAATTAAAAATTTAAAAAATAAATTATTTTATTTTATTTTCAAAATCAAAATAAATGATTAAATGATGTATGAATTTTTTAAAATTTTTTTAAAATTTATAAATTCCATATCAATAAAAAATTAAAAAAATTTAAATCTGTGTACTTTTACATTCGGATCCTAAAACTTAGCCCATTACTACCATTATACTTCGCTTTATTTATTTATTTATTTATTTTTACACTTATCTACTAACCTACGCCAAATCAAACGGTGCATGTAAGCAAAAGAACAGAAGCCCATTTAAAAGAGTTTTTATAGAGAAAAAAATTAATAGGTCAGTGCCAAATATGAAATATGAATATGTTGTGAGAAAATTTTGAAAATAAAATTTTAATTGAATTAAATTATCTAAAAAATATAAATTTTAAACTTTCCAAAAAAATTAAATTAATATACAATTTTAAAATATTTTTATTGTTTTGTAAAAATAAAAGTATCAAATCCATATATAAAATACATGTTGATACAAAAATTTTGAAGACGGTAGAGAATCTAAGCAATATAGAAAATTAGTACTAGATTTTGTTTTGGGTGCTATATTAAAAGAGAAAATCAGAAATTTGAAAGCAGCTTAAAAAAAAAAAAATGGCAGCAAGATCCAAAGCAGCAGCCACGAGGCAGGGCAGGCAGCTGTGGACGATGCGTGGGAAAGGGATGGCACGAGAAAGAACAACTGAGCGTGTCAAGAGTTGAAAATGAAGCAACGTGACAAAACAATATAATTTCAGACTTGTTACTGAGCATCATGAAACTCTTCCTTTAGTGGAGGACAGATTTTTTTTTTTTCACTAGATTTTATTCTAGACATTTTGTAATATTGAAGGGGACAATATAAAACCAAAACAGGTCTTGAAATTTGAAAATTTTTTGTTGGAAACTTGTCCAGGAACAATCAAATGCTGTAATTTTTGCAGTCCCAGATCCCTTAGAAGAGTCATTAGCCAAATTGCGGGTGTTATTGGTGAAACCAAAGTGTATAAAAAAAAAATCTTTTAAATTTATCTCTCTAATGATTATAGACACATAAAAAATATTAAAACTTTAATTTCAAATCAATTTTTTTTTTTTTATTTATATTAAAACTTTATCCTCTTTATATAAAAAAAATCATCAAACTCGAGTCTTATCAAGTGTTATATTATATTTTTAATTAAAATTTGATAAATATTTTAAAAAATTTTAAATACATAAAATTAACATAAAAAAATACGTTTCTAATATTTTTTGTATTACTAAAAATAATGATATGTTTTGATTTTTGCATATGGAGATTAATCCGATTTATCCGACTACCATTGAGAAAAAAATAAGTGAATTATTAATGGAAATAGAAGTTAAAGATGAATTATCTCTTGTGGAAATCTATTATGACCAGGCAGTCTCAATTTGCCCCTTCTTTCTTTTTACTGATTGCTCTGCGGATGGTTGCAGTCAAAATGTCGGGGTGAATCTTTTTTTACCACGCGTGTATCTGTTTCTAATTATTGTGTAAATCCCCAAAAACAGTCGTTACTCATTAGCAATTACAACGCGTGCATCTCCATTCAACGGTCCGTAGCTGAAATATATTAACGAATAAGATTTTTCCACGTCTGCATTAGGTGGTTGGGGGACATAACGGCGTTTTGTTGTTGGGGTTGACGGATGTAAACCGTAATGATTGTAAATTGACTCTTAGACCTCCGTGCTAAACCAGTTAAGTTGACAGTTTACCTTTGGTTTGGTCTCCTAAACAGGCAAGATGTAAATTTTTTATTTCTAATAAGTATTTTATATACCAAATTTCCACAATCTATTTTTGTCCCATTTTTAACAACAAAATTTCAACCTTTATTCGAATAATTAATTATACTAAAGGAAGAAGGGCTAGGAGGCATACTGTTATGATCTTCATTTACCCTATTTTTTATATATATTTTATCTTGTTAATGATAAGAAAAAATATTATTGTTATTTTTATGTACCTTTAAGATCAATTCAATAGATTTGAAAATACATTTAAAATTTAAAAGTTAATATTTATTTTCTTTTTTATCTCTAATTTTTTTATATAAAAAAAGATTAAATCAAATTATGCATTCGAAAAAATAAACTAATAAAAATTTCCCATAAAAAAACCTATCCAAAATGTATAATTTTACCAAGTTCAAAATGATTTTAATAACACAAATGATTTGGTGTTTGCAAAAAATTAGAGCTCATCATGGTCGATTGAACCTCTTTTATAATCAATGTTTTGCCTTTGTTCTTGTATTTATACTTTATTTTATGAGATTGTATCTAAGTTTAGAGCTTGTGCCTTAAATCAAACTTTATTAGAAATAATTAAAAATAGTTTATTTTAATACATGTGAGAAAACCCTTTCTCAAACATTCGTTTTTACTTTATTTTTATTTATTCCTCTATTTTTTTTCAATTTTTTTGCCATAAATTTTCAACTTTTTAAGCCCCAAAAAATGTATTTTTTTCCTTTTTTCAATAAATTATTTGGATCAGAACTCAGCTCAAAAAAATGTAATAATTGGGTGTGTGTTTTTTTGAAGGGTAGTCATGGTGTATTGCATCACTATGTAAAAGCCGCCCACTAGAGATCTGCCATTTGATAGGTACAAACACTCAACAACGTTGATTTAATATGCAATTTTTTTTTTTCTTAGTTGTAAGAAGGCTGCTTCCCCAATACCATAATTTCTTTGTTGCAAAAATTTTTTGTTAGCTTTCAATTGAATAATAATGTGAAGAAAATAAATTTTTAAGATTGAATATGAATATTTTAAAGTCTGCAAACCTTGCATAATCTCCACGTACAATATTCTGTCCAATCCATTATAATCTCTGAATGCTCCAATCCACGCTAATGAACAATCCATTATAATTTGATTTTTGTTGGCCAATTTTTTTTTTTTTTTAATTTGTCACCATGAACTAGAAATGGCTACTCGAAATGGGTTTTTGATTCTCTATCCATATAAAGACTAAACTCATAAAATTTAATCACTTTCTTTACAATCTAACTTTAGTTTATTTTTGTTGTGTCCCTTTGAGGTTTTATATATTATATATGTTTGGTTATCATAATTGATCAGGTTCTATTTTGTTTTCTAAAATTTAAATATTATCATAAATATTTATGATCGAATAAATTTTATATTTGAATACATATTAGTTACTGTATAAAAAGATATACATTGTTCCTATGATTTGGCTTTAAGTTCTATGAAAAAAAATCAAGAAGAATTATATATGTGCTCCTTCCATTGATGGATAAGCATCAAGGAAAAAGCCAAAACGAAAAAGAGGGAGGATTTTTTTTTTTTTATCAATTCATTGAAACCATTCCCATGTAAGTATCATCTTAAAAAATGTTAATAAGTGTTAATATTTAGTATATAAGGTAATTTATGTTATTGTATCGTATTTTATGTCAGACATGATTTTAGATATAATACAAATAATTTTGATATGAAAATAATAAAAATATTTAAATTATATGAATAATCTAAATATGAATACGACACGTTTATTATATATATTACATGTGATATAACACGATTAATACTTTTAAAATTAATTTGTTTAACACAATCCAAATAATTCAACACGATTAATATGATTAAACACGAATAACACAATTAATTTATTTATTTAAACCAAAAAAATCATTTAAGTTAGTACTTAAATAAAAAATTATTTACAAACTAAATATTGATAACTATTTAAATACTAAAATAATATGATAAATATGATTATTAATTTATTTAAAAAATAAATTAAAATTATTTTTATAGTTTATATGTTATATATGCTTGCATGAATATATGTTATATGAACAGTATTGTATCTTAAGTATGTTATTACTGTTTTATATGGATATGATATGAATAATATTATATCTTAATCATATCGATATGATTAAGACATAAAATACAATTACACTAAATTCATATATGATTTTTTTTGTATTATTTTTATATCATGTTATCATGTTGTACTTAAAATTATCAGGTCTAATATTTAGTTATTTATAATAAAAATTATAACCTTTGTATATTTTGGAGA